ATTTTCTCAGAGTGTTATAACGCTTGCCCTGTTTGTAAAATATCATTTTGGCTTGCTTTTGTTTTCTGAATAAAAAGACATGAAATCAATCCTACAAAAAGCCCTTACCCTAGAAGCTGACACCAGCCCAGGGTGCTGGGGCAAGCTCCACAGAAAGAATGCCACCTTTAAGCAGCTCTATTTATACTGACAGTATGGCTATGCGTTCCCTTTGGATTGAAATTTTCATAAAACAAAACTCGGCTGGGTTAATGAAGAACAAATTATTAGCCTATAAAGAGAGGATTAATTCTTCCTTACTCTTTAATCCTTTCTCATACTCAAAAAAGATGTACTTCATAAAATTAGAAAAAATTGTATGTATATTCAAATCAAATGTCAACAAGAGAAATCAAATCCTAAAATAAAATAATATAGAAACACATTTAAGCCCTAATTTCAGAGAAGTAACACAATCATATGGGATACAGGGCAAGAACTAAGCCAAATAATCTCTGAGCACCATATCTGAGTGTGCAACTTCTGACTCGAATACACAAAGTCTTGAGTACTGAAAACTGGCTTCTCTTCAAGAGGTCTTAAAGGCTCTGTATATTCTGGGATTGCACGTTTAGCCAGGCAGATGGTAAACCATTGCAACAGTCTGAATGAAGTTTGTCTCCACTGATTCCTGCGCTAGAGACTTAAGTCCTCAGAGTAACAGTGTTGAGAGGCAGTGTCACATTTAAGAACAGAATACAGTGTGAGGTAATGAGGTGAGAGGTCCGAGGATCTCATAAGTGACAGATGACTGTTCTGTAGCAGAGGGTTAACGCTCAGGACTGGATTACTTACCATGACCACAGGTATCTTCCTGTTAAATTCTAAGTACTTTGAAACTGAACAAAGTATTTCTTAAGAGAGTTAACTTTCTGAGTTAATTCGATTTAGTTTTCTGTTAATAATATCCCATGTCTCCTTTTTAGATCATTGGAGCCCAACAAATGATAAAAATTTGTAGATTACTATGAGATCAACCCTTTCTAAATTATTCTGCTAGATTACACTATTATGAGGGTCCAATAGGCACCTAATATCAATGAAAAGTGACCTTCTTACCAAGAATACGGTTTCTTCAAACGGTGAAAAATCGATCACATTAACTTTTATTGGTCTGATACCATGTTGCTGAGGTCTGAACACCTTGGGAGACACTCTCCAATCTTGTCTGGTACTGTGGCTTATAAGTCCCTAATTATTAAATAAAGAATACCAAGAATGGCCAAAGAAAAGTATTAGAAGTAAGACTGGACAAAACTATATTCATGAAATAATTCAGACATTATAAAAAGGCAAATAGTAAGTTAATCTGCTATAAAGATATCTATGAGGTAAGGATGAAATGTAAAACACTACTAACCATGTCGGTGCCGACAACAAAGTGATTAGGATCCGAAGGCAGAAATTTGACACTTAGTGTTTGTGTGGACCCCCAGAATTCACTATCTTTATGGGAAAGACTGTAAAATAAACAGCAGAGATGAACACATGGCTTTTGCAAAACCTGGATGATGGCAATACCTTACACTCACTTAGCACTGCCACACATCATCCAGTGAGGAAAGCTTTATCACACTTCTTCCATGATTCCAGCTACTACTCTTCCTATTTCTTTTTCAATCATTTCTGCAGACCCATCACTGTTGCCCAATTCTTTTATCAACTATGTTGAATCTATTATTGAATCACTCACTGGTTGAAATTTGGAAATTACAGCACTGCTTTGAAAAGTGTATTGTACAACTGCAGCAGGCCTGATGCCGAGACACGGTGATCAGTAGTTGACTGATGAATCCCACTTGATGACAGCTCTAGTGTGCTTCCTCGTGCTTCTGGTTCCTATAAAGTTTGTGAACTAATCTTTTGCAGAAGGCTTGTGGAAATCCCATAGCTCCCAGCTTCCTATCAGGCAGCTGTTCTTGCATCTTTATCTCAAGGTTCCAGGGACTCTGATACTTGTAAGGTCCCATACACATCTAGCTTGATCTTCCAAGTACCCATTTTCCCTTAACTGGGAGTGAAACTTTATTTTCCTCACACTCAAGGGGCAGTGAATTCCAGAATACTGTGCAAGGGTCTCAATTCTAACTCAGGCAAGCCCCGTGTGTCTGTGATTGCACAAGGCTTGAGTCACAGGCTTATAGGAAAGGCCTGAGAACCTGACCTACTGGTTGTCAGCATTAGTTCAAAACCTTATTATCTAACTTAACTTCCCTTTTTGTTCCTAGCAGTAAGAGATTTTCTTTTCTTAAAAAAAAAAGGCAAAACAAAAAACAGCTATATTTGGAGCTACAGAAATGGCTCAGCAATTAAGAGCATTTGCTGCTCTTAAAGAGCTGGATTCTGTTCCCAAAACTCATAGAGCAGCTCACAACTGTCAGAAACTCTAGCTCCAGAAGATCTGATGCTCTCTTCTCGCCTCTTATGGCCCAGACATACATGTGGTGCACATATATCTAGGCAGACAAGACACTTACACACATGACATACAAACATCTCCCCCAGCGGCACTACCCGGTAGTCAAACCAGCTGAGGCTCCTCCCTCTCACTGCTCCCCTCATCAACTGATTTCCATCCAGTTCTCCACAGCTATGCTGGTTTTCATACAGGTCACACTATATTGGCCTCCTAACTGGTCTCCTTGACTCCAGTTTCTCCAACTTCAAATTCAAATTTTTCCAAGTTGATTATCCTACATCTCAAAAATGACATTCCACTTCTTTAGAATAAGACCCTGTCACCTCCAAGACAATGTCTAGACTGCCAGCACAGCACAGGCATGTCAAGGTCAGCCATCAGCTCACCCCATCTTTCTCAACTGCAGATTTGCTGGTATGTCTACACACAGGTATCTTTGCCTTAGAGCCATGACATGCTCCTTTGCCAAGCTTTTGAGGATCAATCCAATACCATGTCCTAGTCAGTATTCTATTGCTGTCAGGAGAAACCATGACCGAGGTAACTCTTATAAAAGTGGGGGCTTGCTGACAGTTTAAAGGGGTAGTGCATGGTCATGGCAGGAAGCAGGCAGGCATGATACCGGAGCTGGTGTTGAGATCTTTACATCCTGATCCACAGAGTGCAGGCAGAGGTAATCTCAGAGCCCATACCCAGTGGCACACTTGCTCCAACAAGGCCACACCTTCTAATCCTTCTTAAACAGTTCTCCTCGTTGGTGTATAAGCATTCAAGTATGTGAGCCTATAGGGACCATTCTCACTCAAAGAACCACATAACACTTTCCCCAGAAGCTCCCATCTGTCTGGACACAACCCTTCCCTCCTTCAAGCTCCTACACGCCTATGTTCATACTAACACATCATACTCTTATAACTCTTATAACCATGCCAACAAGGAATATTCTGCTTCACGGGCATGCTTGCTGGGATCACTGAAGGCAAGATGGCTGCTACACTGAGGGTGACATATTTCCAGGACATCCACAGTCCACAGGTGGCAGAAAAGGGACAAGGACCGGGTGCATCAGTCCAGCCAGACACCCCAGTTTACCCAAGGTAGGGAAGGCTACAGAGTTAGGGCTCTCCTTATAATACAGTCTACCTGTACCCCTCCTTTCCCACAGATTCTTGCAAAAATACAGGTATGAACATCTGGCATCAAATACATTAACTACTTCCCTTTGGAGAGTATATAGCTAAGTCCTGTAAGAGTATACAGTTACATCCTGGAGGAAGTTACAGTTAAAAATAAATATAATGCACGGCGTGAGGTGCGAGCATCTAGTGCAAAGGTACGCAGCTCGGCAGCGGTACGCAGCATGGGAAGGAGGCATGGCCTGGCCCTGCAACATATCTGATGACTTGAACTATCTCCTTTCATAATTATATTCCAGTCAAGAAAGTTGATTTGAATGACTGTATTGACTGTGTTCTGTGTGAGAAAGAGGACACAGACTCAAAGATGTTTCACGGGTAATTCACATACTAACAGCCTCACTGAGTAAATGGCAGAAATATATGTCTTTGGGAACCAATAAGGAACATGGAACACTAATACTGAACATTCATTAAGAATCTGTACTTCGTAGTAAGTTCTATAAGTAAAAAGCAGAAATACTGCTGTTTTTTTTCTTTTTGTATTTTTTTAATGTTTGCTGTTTTGTGGTGTTTCTGTTTGTTTATTTAACTATTTGAGACAGGTTCTCATATATCCCGGCTGGTTGCAAACTCACTGTATTGTCAAGGATAGCCTTGATCTCTTTTTGTTTTTTGTTGTTTTGTTTTCAACTTTTTATTTTTTAAACGATCTTTTCTCATTTTACATACCTATCCAGTTCCCACTCCCTCCGCTCCTCCTACTCCCTCCACCTTCCCCTCACTCCACCCCCACCCACTCCTCAGAGAGGGTAAGGCTTCCCATGGGGAGTCAACAAAGTCTAGCACATTGCTTTGAGGCAGGACCAAGACCCTCCCCCCATATCTAGGCTGAGCAAGGTATCCCTCCAAAAAGAAAGGGCTTCAAAAAGCCAGTTAGCCTTGAACTCTTAATCTTCCTGCTTCTATCTACCAAATAGAATTTGCTAGGATTATAGGTGTATGCAATGCCTAGCTAAAAATGTAAATTTATAAATAAAACTTATTTCAATGTTTTCAGTTCCTAAAACTTGACTTGATCAAGTTTAACTAACTTTAAGTCTAAAGTAAAATTAGATGAAAGACAGTCATATTTGACTTAATTTATAAGCTAAGAACATTTTACGAATATCTATTAGCCCTATATCTGAAAAATATATTTGTTACATTGACTGATATAATTCATATAGCAAAAACTGAATAAGTCCTCATTGCAAAACAGAACATGTTTTTAACAGGAAACAGAGTCCTTGTGGAATGAGGGACTTGCTTAATCCCAGGGGACGTCTCACCTGTTGCCCAGCTGGATCGCAGTACTGTGCACCAATTTGACCCTCCCTCCAGGTATCAAACCTAGAATCAGACAAACCACAAACACACACACCTCTTAATGCGAGTTAACCCCAATTCTACCTACAGTTGTCTGGATTCACTCTTCCTTATTTAAGTATCATAACCAGAAGGAATGCCAAAATATAAATACAGGAAGGACTCCCTCTAAATCTGGTGGAGGTGTCTGTGCCTTGCTGAAGAGGAGAGTCGGAATTTATAGGTCATTATCAGAACCCCATGGGGCCATGATCCAGATGTGCACACATTTTCAGACTGGTGAGAACAATTGGCATCACATGTATTGAATACTTAGTTCCAAATGCCAAACCCTGTGCTGTAAATATCCAAGGCAATTGTCATTCAAAGCCAATCAGAAACCCACCAAGTTTCCAGTTTGGTGAATGGCCACCGGTATTTTGAGCTCCTCCAGGCTCAGTTTCTGTTAAGCAGAAACTCTAACTTCCACTCAAACACCATGGAACTACAGCTCCCAGGAGACCTGGCTTTGTTTTCCATTCCTTCCTTTGTTCTCCTCAAATATGGACCCTTCAGTTGTCTCTGCCAAATGTCTGGCTTAAAGCTATTTTTGTACATTACTGCAGAGGGAAGAATTAGAGATTTAATATAATGAAACCCAAATATTTGGCAAGATGCTTTCCAGAACCTGGAGTGCAGCTGAGTTAAAAGCATGTAGAAATAATATTCGCCTCACTGCTAGGAAGGGCAACTGCAAGTGCACTGCATGACTTGTCTCTTACATTCACTGTACAATATGGATGGCATCCCAGAGGTGGCACATCTACAGATCAGGCCTGCTGCCGCTGGTCTCAACCACAATCACAGGAAAACGATTTGAATGGCTCTTCAACAAGAAGTGATCAGCACTTGTTTGGTGAAGAGCCTGCTTCTGAATCTGAGAACCTGAACCTGAAACAAGGCCAGTGTCAATCCTGGATTTTTTTTTCCTATTTTTTTCCAAATCTATCAGGGGATACACCCTTGAAACAAATAAGATGAGACAAGCTGTCATTATAAAATTAACAGCTGCTGGGAGGTGGTGGCGCACGCCTTTAATCCCAGCACTTGGGAGGCAGAGGCAGGCGGATCTCTGTGAGTTCGAGACCAGCCTGGTCTACAAGAGCTAGTGCCAGGACAGGCTCCAAAACCACAGAGAAACCCTGTCTTGAGAAAGCAAAAAAAANAAAAAAAAAAAAAAAAAAAAAAAAAAAAGGGAAGGAAGGAAGGAAGGAAGGAAGAAAGAAAAAGAAAGAAAGAAAGAAAGAAAGAAAGAAAGAAAGAAAGAAAGAAAGAAAGAAAGAAAGCTAACAGCTGTAATTCAGGGTAAGAAAGCTGAGCTTATGATGCAGACAAAATAGCCCCAAGATCCATCAGAACTGAATTGTCTGGGGCCTCTTAGTACTGGAAGCCATGCCAAGTGGCACGGAAAACAGCACACCTTGGGGATCCTGAACTGTTTCCCCATCTTTCCTGCTCCATATGGGACACTTTAGCATGCTGTGTCATCACCCATTCCAAGTGGCACGAGGCGAGCCACACTTAGTGAACTCATGTACACTGGGTAAATACAATCCACAGAAGAAAGCCCCAACTGAAGGAGGACTTAGGACATGGACACCTGAAGAATACTGGAAAAGAAGACAGTTGCCTTAATTTATGACACAGAGCAGAATGAATGCCAACCATGACAGAACTTACGACACCCACATTAGATGTCACTCAACCACTTTAGCTAGTGAGATGGCCATACAACTCTGATGTTCATTTTCAGGTTGCTAATGACTTATTTTTCAAAGCATGTTGTGTTATCTTTAATCTCTAATCATTTTAGCAAACAATAATTAATTAATTTTTACTTCAATAGTTACCTAAATCACTCATTGAACCAGAGATATCTGCCTTTGGTAATTCAACAACCACCTAAAAACAGAATATTGAAAAAATGGATACTGATACATTTTAAAACTAAGAACCAATCTAAGCAAAGCATAGCTATAATAAAATAACATTGCTTTATTAGAGCCTAAAATATAATTGTTTCATAAAAAGACTACTCATTTGCTTTAGAACTAATGACCTAAATTTATTCATTCTTTTATCTCACTATTCTCCTCTCTCAGTAACCTCATTAGTAGCTCACTATACAAGTCCTAACATATCCTTTAGGAGTGAGGCCTTCTTATGGTCTTCCTTATGCATTTACAGAGGCCAAGGCCAGGCATACAACTCCACACCCCTTCACAGAACAAAGGGTCTTACTGTCTTGTTCTATTCTACCCCTGACCCATTCCCCAAGCCAGGTGCTGTCTCCTCCCAGCCGGTTCCACTCAGCACCTCCCACTTACCCACACATTGAGAACACCACTCTCGTCCAGGGAAGCGATGTGAAATGACAAGCCTGCCATTTCTAATGAAAGCAGAAACAAAAATGGAGGAAAGAAGCTTTAAGTAAACATAACGCTTTACATAACTATTGCTTGAAAGATTTTATAGATGTGAGAGCTCTTGTACCTTCTTGAGTAGAAAAGGGTGAAAGCACCAAGCTCTGTTTCTTGTAAGCAGATGTAACAACCGGCTCTATGGCTTGAAGAGGACTTTGGTGGTTCACTGATGTGAGGACTCCATCTAGAAATTAAAGGCCCATAGTACCCACTTTAAGTCATATATTTTAGCAATAAAATTAGCATTATATGTTAAGAAATATGTGAATGCTTCTGCGTCTAAAGATCTGAATCTCTCCATATACCTCTCACCTAAAGCCACAAGACTAACACTAATAAGTCGCACATCAAGATTCAGGACCATGAGTTTTCAGCATCTCTAGCAGAGACTACAACCTCAATATGCTTATAAGAGGAAAAACAAGAAGCGAACACCAAAGCTTGTACCATTACATAGCTGTTCCATCACTGAGGCAATACATATACAGGGCTAGGAAGGAGATCAACATACTCTAAGACCAAGAGTATTGTTAAGCAGATACTCCAGAAAGAGAAGACATGATTCTAAGGCCAGAATCCTCCAGGTTTTCCAGGCTGGGGAAAGAGGACCATTCAATAGGGCCTTAGAGAAGTGCCGTTTATGGGCAACTTATAAGAAAAGAGAATAGCATGGACTGAGAACAGAGCAGTGCAAGTCAGAGCAGGGGACTTAAACGGGTACACAGTCACTACCAGGAAAAGTACTGCCACCCACAAATGAATAAAACATCTGGGAGTCAGAAATTCAAATTCCATATGCAGGTACCTCAGGAAGAAATTAAAACAAAGACATTAAAGAATCATCTGGTGTGACTATTCTCCTGCCCCACCCCATCCCTGAAGAAAGCACAAAGCATAAGGCAACCAGTCTGAGATGAATGAGATCTCTGCAGACCACTATGGGAAATGCACTTAAAACAACAAATCACATCCAACATCAAAACCCCACATAAAAACAGAAGAAAAGGAGAGGGCCGGTCGGGCTGAACTTAAGAAAAGCTAGTGAATAACAGAATGAAGACACATTGCAGACCTCCCGGGGGAAGTCACACGGATGTGAATGATCTCCTCTAGAAGCTCCAGCTTCACACTCCTGACTTCCGCTGATGATACTGAGATGGCAAAGGAAACAAAGGGAGCATTTCCTAGAGCGCTGGATTAGCATCCCGTCATCCCTCTTACTCATCTGTGCACTCGACAACCATGGCTGGAAATACATGAAAGGATGATTGTCCTGCACTGAACATGTGTGGACTTTTCTTGCCATTGTTCCCTCAACATTGGGGCACAACAGCTACTCACACATCGTATACACAGCCCTCCAGAGATAACATCAAATACAAAGAGAATGTGCCCGTTACAGCAAGTGCTGTATCATCTTATATAAGGAGGCATCTGAAGGGAGAAGGCTTAGGAATATAGTGCCTTGAAAACAACGCTGAATTACACTCACTACCTTAGCAGTCAGAAAACACTATGGTTTGAAGGGATCTTTTGGATTGTATGACAGTTTTAGTTGTCAGCTTACCACAATCTAGAATCACCTGTGAGTCTCAATGAGGACCATCTAGGTCAAGCTGGCCTGTGGGTATCCCTGTGAGTAGGCACCACCTCCTGGGCCAAGCACTAAACTTAGAAAAGGAGAGAAATTAAGCTGAGCTGTGGCACTTGGTATTCATTGCTCCCTGCTTCTGGCTGGGACGCAATGTGAGCAATTCCTACCACTGCAACTTCCTTGCCGAAATGGACTAAACCCTGGATTGTGAGCCAACTAAATACTTTCTCCTTTAAGGTGCTTTTATTGGGGTAGTTTATTAGAGAATCAGAAAAGATTCTTAGAGCCTAAGTCATCTAATAAATTTTATGTTCTTTTCTGTTTGAAAAAAGGATACTTTTTTAATAGCATCAAAATCCATATGGTATCTATCACTGTAAATAGTCTCCATAGCAACAGTATCTCCCCAAAAGGGCAAAAAATGGTTAGTAGAGATGTAAAAAATGGCTTGTGCTTTTTATGTGTAAAGCGCAGATATAAATACAGTACAGAGAGAGGAAACATTATCTGTGATGTTAAGAGTGTTTGGAGAAGGATAAAAATAAACCAATTTAAAAGCCTTACTTAGTTAAAAGAATGAAAAGAATCACAAGAGAAAATATTTGCCAAACCCTTACCTCACAAAAGTCTTTTATCAAAACATATAAACTCAACTACCAGAAAACAAGCAATTTTAAAACAGGTCAAAGACCTTAATGAGTACTTTACCAAAAAAGACACACAGATAGCATATGAGCATAAGAAAAGACAAAATTGTTCCAAGTGTCACAAGAGAAATGCAAGTCACACATGAGGAACCACTGAAACCAAGCAGAATGACCCAAACGGATGGCAATGGCTGGTGAGGGTACAGAGCAGCAGGTCTCACTGTCTGTGAGAATGCGGATGGCAGAGCCACTCTGAAAGACAGTTGACAATTTTTAACTGAGCAATCCAGGAATCAAATTCTTCAAACTGCTTGCTTTCCCTCATACAGGCAACCTGCAATCCTATCCCAGGGAATGGCACCACCTACTGTTAAATCTTCTCATCTCAACCAACTAGATAATCTCTCACAGACGTGCCCAGAGGCTAACTTAACTAGATAACCCAACACTTAATATGAGGATTATCTCCTAAGTAATTCTAGATTCTGTGAATTGAAGATATTTAGCCGGATACTTGGTATTTACCCAGAGGAGGGGAAACCTGTACACAAGCAGTTGTGAAACAGCTGTAAAGCTATTCGTATATAGTTTACTCCTACCCAATCCGAAAATGTTTACTTTATTCCAGAGAGAGAACTTTCTGGAAAAGGAACAAACTACAGAGACAACGAAAAGTTCCGTGATGGCCAGAGCAGGAGGGATGCACAACAGAGAGGCCCTCGCTTGAGACATCAAACTGATAGGAACCACATGTGCAACAGAAGCTTTGAATGCAGTGAAGACAGCCATCAAGAGTGAGAAGTTCAATGGGGCATTCATATATAAAAATATTAATAAAAATAAACCTGGACACTAGTACTTCTCATCATGTGACCAGACCTAAATGTAAAACCTAAAATTACAAAAGTTCAGGAAAACATGGCTGACAACCCACGCTCTGTGACTTTTAGTTGAGTAGAACCTGTTCATCACGACACCGAGAGCACATCATGAGAAATAAGTCAAACTCAACCAAAGTTAACTCTTCCTCTCTTTGGCAAACAATTTTACAAGAAGGAATATGGGATATAATGAAATACATGTAAAACACATCTAGACTATGTAAAGCTTCAAAACTTAATAGGATGTATAGCTCAGTCTATAAAGTGCTGGCCAAACACATGCAAAGTCCTGGGCCCAATCTCCAGCACAACAGCAACAACGTAAAGTAAATTCAGCCAGGCATGAATTATGCCTGCAATCTCAGCACTCGAGAGGCTGAGGTAAGAGGATTTTTGAAAGCTTAAGACAGCCAGGACTCCAAAACAAGACCTTCTCTCCAAAAACACAAATAAACTTAGAAAAACAACTCAATAAAAAAAATGAGCAAAGATTTAAACAGGCATACTCAACAAGAATATTTATATGATATATAAGTACATGAAGATAAACAGGATCATTAGTTATTCAAGTGAAAGTCGAAAACCGAAATTAAAACTGCATGCTTACTAAATATCTAGCTAAACACCACTGCCTGATAGGACCACTGCTGAGAAGCACAGAGCGACAGTTGGCACACTGCAGAAGAGCACCAAGGAGCTGTCAGCAGTGAAGAACACCAAATGACATATGAGAAGAGTCCTCCAGCAGTTGGACAAAGCAAACTGGTCACAGGATAATGACTCAATAAAAAACTAGTGGCCTGAGGGGAAAGAGAGAACACCAAGAGCTTGAGTGGTGTTGTGTGCTCCTGAGACTCAACAGGAAAGGGACAAGATTGGTAAAGAGTGATCAAGAGAAGGTCTATGCCTGCTCTCTCAGACAATGGACGTCAGCTCCTACAAGAAGAGCCAATCAGCAGTCTATAGGTCAGATGGCCGAGTACAGGGCCCGCCTGTGCAGTCAGTGTGGTACAAAGATCTTACCCTTCTGAGCAACAGGGATGGATGGAGGGCTAGTACAAGAATGTACATAAAACACTTAGAAGTCCTCCAGGTGGGAAATGCTCACTCTTCGTGTTGGTATGTATTCATGTGTGTACATGTGTGAGTGGGTACACGTGCAGGCATGTAAATGTGGAGACCAGAGGCTGACGTCAGGTGTCTTCCTTGATAATTCTCCATGCTCCTTTTATTTTGAGACAAGGTTTCTCACTGGGCCTAGAGCAGTGGTTCTCACCTTCCTAATGCTGACATCCTTTAATACAGTTCCTCATGTTGCAGTGACCCACAACCATAAACTTATTTTCCTTGCTACTTCATAACTAATTTTGTTACTGTTATAAACTGCAGTGTGAACATCTGATACGAAGGATGTCTGTTACAACCCTGTGAAAGGGTTGTTCGACCTTCAAAGGGGTTGTGATCTATGGGTTGAGAATCACCGGCCTAGAGCTTGCCGGCTAGTAAGACTAGCGAGACAGTGAGCCCCTCTAACTCCCCAGGGAGATCACAGGTGTGTACCAACACACCCAGTCAGAAGGGGTGTGGGTGCTGGGGATCTGAACTCAGGTTCACATCACACAACAAACACTCACTACTAAGTCATCTTCCTAGCCCCAAGAAATGATTTGGTTTTGTTTTTGTTATGGTGGCTGTGGTCTAAAATGGTATCAATTGTTCATGTAAAAAACCTAAGGCTCTGTCCCCCAAGAGTTCTTCTCACTTCACCACCTCGAGTATTCACTAGTGATGCTACAGTTGTATGCACTCACTACTCTACCGTGGCTAGTAAGGACCTAAGGACACTGATGTTAGGAGGAGGGTGACACTCAGTACATAGAGCTGACTGAGACCTGGAGTTTGCTCCTTGAAACCATAATCAATTAACTAATCAATCCAAAATTTATCTTGCTTGGAATTTTTTAGAATCCACACATTTAACATAAAAGAGTGCCCCAAACTTTGCTGCCACTCAGTGAGGACTACTTGAATGGATTTGGTTTTCTGTTTACCAGATGCTTCCTCTGTTCAGACTCAGACCTCATCCTCTGGAAATGTGAATGAACAAAAGCAGATCAAGTTAAAACTTTCGTCCTCAAAGCGGACCAGGCTTTTCTAGAAAACAGACAAGACTAACCAGTGGAAAATGTTGGGATCCGGAAGGCCCAGAGACAATTGCTCAGTCTCACATAATGGTGTATCCTGGAGTCTTCTCTTAAGTCCCAAAGGACCACAGAGCCGTGGACTGTTCCGGCAAACAGCAAAAATGCTTTTAAGGGGCTGAAGCAGCAACATGTAACCTGAAAAGTCAATCATAGGAGGTGAATGGCTGAAAAATATGAGCCACATTCACAGAATTAGCTCACAAAGAATGACATCTGACACAGATAAAGGTCCTCACAGGATGCAATTAAGTAGAACACAGACCTGTGCGTATGAAATAAAATTCAATTGCCCAAGTGTGGGTTTTTTTCACAAAGACAGTAGAATCTGAAATCCAGTCTGTAGGAATGTGATCACAAAGAAGGCTTCTAGTGTCCATCTGGGTACATAAAATGTGCTTAATAACCCTTTCTATTAGTGTAACTGCCTGGATCTCCAAAGTGGTGAGTCCACTGTCTGACATTTTATTTATGGCTTTTACTCTAAACTTATTCACTTTCAAGACTCTAAAATTGGCGCCCAAAAAGGTGTTCTTCATATATTTGGAAGAAATTGATGGTTTGGGTGAGTCAAGGAGCATAAAGACATAGTACTTCCCAATCAAAAACAAAGTCAATATGAAAGGGAAGATGGCCAGTGGAGCGTGAATAACAGGACCAGACTCACATAGAAGGCAGCAGTCTGTGTAAGTGACAAAGGCCCTTATTGTAAGCAATTTTTAGAAATTGCATGATGCATGGTGGAGCACATCTATAATCCCTGCATCAGGAGGTCGAGGCAAGAGATCAGGAGTTCAAGGTCATCTTCAGCTGAATAGAGAATGCAAGGCCAGCATGGGTTACCACAAGCTTCCTGGGGGATGGGAAAGAAAACAAAACAAAAACAAAGACATCGCAAGAATATTAAGATATCTAGAGTATCAGAATCTAAATAGCATGATCCAAATATCCTAGCCTTGTGGTCATCCTGACCATGTTTTTATTAAGCCTCTAACTATGTTCTTTTGCTAGTTTACAGATGGCTGAATACTTCCTGCATGACAATCCTGGGTTTCTCAGTCAGAAATGACCTGTTAAACTAGGAATTCCTAGAGTTGGAACAAATGTGTTTTGTCACCTATGTAGAGCCAACAGCACAGAAACGACATGACTTATGCCCCATTCTGTCTGCTATCTCTGTGCCCTCTCCTTGTTATGTTACTGCCAGCTACTCCCCTCCTGGAAACAAGCACAGACTCGTTCTGAATATACCTTTGATTCACATATCAGAACCTTCTGGGGCCCTGAAGGCTGCCAAATATCCCACACACAGAGGAGGTGCCGGCTATCCAGAGATGGGGCAAATGCCTTTTCAGGTAAGTCATGAACAGAAACCACAGTCTGCCTCTGAACTCGAGAGGCATGCAAACAGGATACTTTCCGCCCTGGAGATAAGAAAAAACAATTTTCACTTTAGCATTTAAAACTTTTCAGAACACTCTCATAAAATCTAATTCAATGAAAAAACAAACGTGGTCTGTTCAAAGCCGAACAAAAAATCAAGAGTGTTGTTGCTGAGACAAGTCCCCACACATCCTTTGTCCCCTCACCTCACTATGCAACTGAGGGTGACCTTGGACTTGATGTTCCTGCCCCCACTCCTTGGCTGTGAAAGTATAGCATGTACCAATAGCACATTCAGTTTGTGCTAAGGACTGAACTCCAGGCTTTCCGCATGCTAGGAAGCACTGCATCCAATGAATGAGATCCTCAACCCCCAAACCTGGGTTTTAATCAACACCTACAGGGTAATCCTAAATTCTGTATCTACATTGACCCTGTGGCTTCAGTAAAGGGAAACCCTTTCTCTGGTGCAGCGATGGCCAGGACAACACACTTCTCATCTACTAGCTCTTCAGCCCAAGTGCATGGGAGCAGAAATCAGCACCATGCTAGAAACACCTGGAGTGGTCTTCCTTCCAAGGCATGCTGCAAGGACACTACTGTTAGGAACCTCAATTCTCTTTTTAAAAAAGCCGTCTGAACGCCATACAGAAAACTACTCTCATCCAAAGCCAGGAGTAGCAGTCCAAGAGTGGATTCCAAGACTGTGGTAGAGATGCTCTCCCTACAGCTCTCCTTAGCAGGGCTGCTGATAAAATGAAGAAACAGTAGAATGTTAAGCCATAGTCACGTGAGAATTTTGTAGTACTAGCTAAGTAAAACTACACCTGCTGACCTGATACCCGCTGCCCATGCACACTAGTTCCTGAAGTCACAGCCCATACCATCAAAACCTGGGATCAGACTTGTCTTCCTGGTCTTCCGGCATCCCCCTCAGCCACTCAACAGTCATCCCCTCAGGGGTACCTCCTCAAGCAGCCTGAAGTCCTCCCCCAGGCAAGGCATGACAATGGTTATATGTGCTCCTTCACCATTCATGAGCAAAGCTCTTCCACCATTATTACTGGGTTTCTACTGTAAGTGTGTGTGTGCGTGTGTGTAAGCATTCATACATGATGGGAGGAGGCAAGCACATGTGTCCAAGTCAGAGGAGTTGGTTCTCTCCTCCACTTTTGACGTGAATTGAACTCAGACTGAAAGTCTTGTGCACCACCTGCCTTTACTCACTGAGTCATCTCCTAAGGCTGCCTTCTAGTTTTTAATGACATCAATAAGGTTTCTTTCCTATTTATGTTTATTTTGTGTGTGAATCAGCATCTTTATTAAACCATTCACAGTGACATACATTCACACACTGTAAAGGAATCTTCCACATTTCCCCTTTTCATCTAATTAAGAAGGAGAGTTTTAACTTTAACGTAATAAAACTATATGTAACAAAACAATTGCCAAATCTAAAGACAACACAATAACATACGGAATCCAGACTCTGCATATTTCCCATCTTTATGTGGCTTATTATATTTTTATTACCTTATTCCTTTTTAAGACTTTATTATTTTTAAACTATTTTGTTTGTATGACTGTCTATACCATTTCTCTTTTCTCTCCCAAGGCTCTGTACATTTTTAAACACACTGTGACTTATTTAGACTTTTTTTCCGTCTGGATCTGTCTTTACTGCATTTCTGTAATCTTTTGTCTTCATGAGCAAAACTTAAAGCTGCCGTGCAGTTTAGTTCATGACATGCTGGCAGGGCTCACTCTGCTGTCAGCTCAAGCTCACAGGCAGCAGCAGAGAGATGCGTCTCTGTTCTGCAGCCAGCATGAGAGACATAAGCCTAGGAAGCTGCATTTGGCCCTCTGTTTGTATGTTTATAATCCAGAGGCACTAAGGCAGAAGGCTCAAGAATTCAAAGCCTGCCTAATAACTGAGATAATGTCTCAAAATAAATGAATGAATGAATGAATGAATGAGCATTCAAATTTAGCCTTGCAAATGCAGTTTGTTTAAATTAATTTAAATACTCTGACATTATATGCTTTATCTGCTTACCATTTCCATAGCTGTGTATGTATTATCTGAGTAACTGCTTGAAAAGAATTGTAATTCTTAAAACAAACACAATCTCATTTTCCATTTACTAAATAATTTCACTAATTTAAATTTCTGTCAGACCTCCTCTAATTAACTCTTGAAAATCATAAATCTAACATACACATTTAAGAAAAGAATTCTCACTATTCATTTGTAATTCTGTAGCCAGAGACTTTCTGTTTTATACACAATAAACCATATCAAATTAAAAACATGTAATATTAATGATCATTATTTCAATATAAATGTTGGCGTTTGCCTATAAACTGATGTCAGGAAAGGCCTCCTACCCTGAAGGAATGGCAGGTTCGTGTTCAGCTGGGAGGAACTCTCACTGATGTTCAGAGCTTTGTCTTGAGCCCGGGGATTCTGGCTGGGCCCAGCTGCCAAACGGTCCTCTTCAAGCAAAACAGCAACCACCTTTGAAAGACAAGTGAGCAGAGGCTGGAGAGATGGCTCTCTTGTAGGATACCTGGGTTCAATTCCCATCATCTACATGGTACCCACAACCACCTGTTACTCCAGTCAGGAACTTTTCTGGCTTCTGCAGGACCACGGGGTACAGATATGGTGCACAGATAGAAAAGCAGGCAAAACACTCATACACATAAAATAAAAAATAAATTTTTAAAAATTTAAAAAGAAAACCCACCTCAAAGACGAACCATCTTTCTTTTTTTTTTTTAAGTTTTTTTTTTATTGAGAAAAGGAAAAGAAAAAAAGTTTCCGCCTCCTCCCATCCCAGCCTCCCATTTCCCTCCCCCTCCTGCCACCCTTCTCCCTCTCCCCCCACTTCTTTCCCTCTCCCCCCACTCCTCTCCCCCTCCCTCTCCAATCNTTCCCTGCCCTGTGGAAAGTCCAAGGTCCTCCCCCCTCCGTCCATGTCTAGGAAGGTGAACATCCAAACTGGCTAGGCTCCCACCAAGCCGGAACATGAAGTAGGATCTTAAAATGCTGACAGCATGCTATCTTTTCTTTAAAAAACGTCTTTTGTAGACTCAATTTCTGCAAATAATTGCTTGGTTTCACTATATCATAACTTTAAAAATTCCTTTTTGCATTATAATAGTATACTAATATAATGTCACAGGATGCCATCTTATATGTTGTTTCCTTTGCTAAATATGACGTTAATATTTCAGAGGGCAAAGTGAGCCTGAGTATCTAACACCCTCAAAGATAAAAGCACCAAGGAGAACCGGGCAGCCAGCCCTCACTGCATCCTAAGGAGAACCGGGCAGCCAGCACTCACTGCATCCTCAGTAGCACTAAATGATCTAACTGGGTCATCTCTAAAATGCGAGGAGTCTTAGAAATTAGTAAAAGGAAGGCAGCAAATGTGAGGTGAGGACTGGCAGGACTGTGTTTGCATTGGACAGAGATGTGGTGTGCACAAAAGAAGCCAGTGAGATAAAGGCTGGACCTGGATCCCCAACCCTGTCGTTGCCTGTTCTCTCCGTCTCATCTCTCTTCACTGCACTGTGCCCAAGGACTCTCTTCTTACTAGCTCCAAAAACTTTATACTACAACAGACACTAATAATAGTAACAAATATGTCAAACCTGATCCTTTTTCTAAGTCACAAATCCCTCTACAACTGAGACACTGGGGCAAAGCAAATGTCAGGTAGTCATATCACAATATGATGGATAGGCTTGATCCTAAAGCAACCTGTCAAGGCTTACCACTATTAGGCTGTTTATTTCTGCCCCATATTTAAATTCTAAGTTTATATAAAAAGTTAGCAACAACAAAGAGATTAGAATATCAACTTTTCTTAGTATTTTAGAAACTACCAAGTTTGTAGGTCACACCCGTGTTAAAGAACTCTGTGGCTGTGGAGAGTTGGAATAGGACAGATCCAAAGCCAGATTACCTTAGGCTACCTTGTGCCCTCCTGAAAGCCTTTCACTGCCACCTTTGTGCAGTCCTCATGTCCTCACGACCTGTCACTCTACTAACTCAAAGACTAAGAGTGCCGTCAGCGTCTGAGGCCACAGCACAGACTTCCTCCCTTTGCTGCACACCTCCTACCTGCGGTTCTCACAATGCATCTGAAAAGCGCTCTGATTTAGCATTTTCTTTTGTTCTGCAAAAAAACTTCATGAAACTGTTTACTGTGTTGAAACATGGTATTTAGGGTAACCTAAATCCATGTGCCCAGGTCAAGGTCACTAATATTTGGTTCTAGAATAAAAGTTCTTTGAGGTGAAAGCTGTTTTTATATTAACAAAAGATCTTTCTGTTTTAGAGACTTATACTGCAATATATATGGGATAAAATTATGATGATTAGAGTTAGTTTCAAAATAATCAGGTGAATGATGGGAAAGGGGAATGATCTGGAAGAAGGAGCCAAGTGAGGTGATGTCATCAGCTGCAGCACATGGAGCCTCACAACTACGAACTTTGAAATTTTCCATAGCCAGTTGTTAAAATCTTGAGTGTATTATTTACTAATACTGTATAGATTTACACTTGTTTTGTCAGCTTAACATGCTTGGCTTAAGACTCTGTAATTACTTTCAACTGCAGGAAATTATTAAGTACAGAACCCCAAAACACAGAATTTTCAATGAGATCTATTTACCTAGTGTCATTTAATAAGTATATTACTGATAATCTGTAAGAACATAATACTTAAAAACAAAGAACTGATTCTGAGTCACAAAGCTCCAAGATTTCAGTAGCTCTGTTTCTGAAGATAATGAGTCCTGAAGCACTAACACAAAAGAAGACATGCAACACAGAATGAACCTGGCATGCTGCCCGGAGAAAACTAGACAACCGTGGGGTGTCAATCTTTGGTACAACTGTGACATCAGAGAAGTCCTTTTCTTCACTACCTAGGATAAAACAGATTTATTAAGTTAATAAAGTCAACTCTGGAAAGGTTATGCTTTACTAATCACCGCATTCAAAGCAGTGTTGCAAATACTGAGAACCCTAGAAAAGTCAGAACACTGCATTACAGGCTCTATTTGTGATTGTTTCCAATTTCACATTGTTTGATAGTAAGTTCATGAGCTGAATCCGACTCAACTGTCTTAAGGAACCAGGGTGTCTGGTGCTAGGTTTCACTATATCATAACTTTAAAAATTCCTTTTTGCATTATAATAGTATACTAATATAATGTCACAGGATGCCATCTTATATGTTGTTTCCTTTGCTAAATATGATGTTAATATTTCAGAGGGCAAAGTGAGCCTGAGTATCTAACACCCTCAAAGATAAAAGCACCAAGGTCAATCTTACACAGATGAAAAATCTGCAATACCTAGATTTTTTTACGTCTAGATTAATCTAGACGTAGATTAATACGTCTAGAGCACCTGGAATCAGAAACACCACACCTAGAGCTTTCTTACGGTGATGTCTATTTGAGGATATTTTTCTTGCTGTATAGAGACAATTTCTTAACAACAACAACAAAAACAGTAATATATAATCCATCTGAATAGCTGCACATCCCTGTGTTCTAGAAACCTCTGGTCTGCACTGATGGAACATATCTTCAAATTACACTTAAAAAGTGAAAATTCTATACTGATGAGAACAAACTATCCCAGTCTCAGAACAGAGTTTGTCCTGCAGTCATAGGATGAGTATTTGGAATATGGAATCAGGCCAATTTAATGATTCCCTGTGATTCAATAGCTCTAATCTCATTCATTAACATGAGAGAATCTGTTCTTTCAAAAGAATATTGAAAGGGTGCTTCCACAGCCATGTATTAACAACCACAACAAAAAGAAACACAAGAAAAGGGAATTAGGAAAAAACAACGTGAAACCTACTGTGAGGGGCTGTAGGGGGGGGGGGGGAGTAGACAGTTAACACCCAAGAGGACCAAGGTTACCTCCAGATACAACAGAGCCTTCTCCTGGGTGCTGGGTCCACACTTCCCTGGTTTCTATATCTTCAGTCTGGACGTCTCTCTCCACATTATCTTCATTGTACTGAACATACGCCTTAAAGAGAAAAGAGGGCTAGAATTAACACCTAGCTTCAATTTCAGAGCAAATTACTCAAGATAAAAGCAACTACATTGTCCGCTATGCTCAACTGTGGGGAGGAGGCAGAAATGTTTAACAAATAAATAAATAAATTTAATAAATAAATAAATAGCAACTACAATTTTTAAAAAGCTAGTAAACTTAAAGATTTAAAGGTAAGCGTTCTTGGGGTTAGGATACACCTCCTGCACTAAAGTGGGTGACACAATTCGCTAGGCTTTGGTTCTGGACTGTATAAAAGGGAGAAAAGAGCTGAGGACAACTATGCACGCATCCATTATTCTTCTCTTCTGACTGCAGATAGAACATGAGCTCCTCTCAGGAGCCTTCCTACTATGGTTGGTGGTAACGTGGACTTGTGAATTACAATAAATCTTTCTCCCCTAAGTTGATTTCGTCAGGACATTTTATCAGAATGACCAGAAAAGAAACCGAGACACTGTCCTGTGTACCAATCACTCATCGTACCCAACAAGCCGTCTTTAGACTTTGCATCCTTTGAGTTTATGAGTACAAGTTATAAAGGACACTCGCAAACACAGCCTCCAGAGACATTTCCAATTCCCATATTCTAGAGTGCATACATGGCACACACATACTATCCTTCCATTAGACAACACATCTTTTACTAACCTGTTTGGTATTCTTTTTCCCGAAGTTCCTAATATACATATCATATTCATTTACTGGTGGTAGGTCCAAGAGAGAAAAGGTGAATGAAAAATCTAAATCAATAAGCCGGAGCAGTTTTGTGCTTCTTGTCCTTTAAAACAAATTAGAAATGAAAAGAAATTGAATAATATACCTGGAGACATGCAGGAGGGTGTATTTTAGGGTCATGTGAAGGAAGTACAGATTGTCTCAAGTACTCAATAATTATTTTAAATAATTAAATAAAAGCTGAGGGTGTAACGCAGTGTCCAAATGTTTCCTTAACTTATAGAAAACTCTACATCAGCGCCCTAGCTGAAAAGAAACTAAATAAAGTCACAAAGTAACGGCGTAAAAAAAAAAAAAAATGAACCAATGTGCAATTGGTCCATTGCAGTACACTGAGGCTGACAAAGTCACAATATATGTATACCAGAATTTTCCTGACTGGCAAGTCACTTTTTTCCAGGATTTAGTGTGTTGGCTAGTTGGATGACATTTCTGTACTATCAGCCCCTGTGACAGCCAGGTTTGCCACCCACCTTCTCCGGGACACTACAGCAGCCAGCTCCTACAGGAAACAGCATCTGACACCAGTAATCCAGTGCACTAGGCACCCAAACACCTGTCACTTGGCTTCCTCTTGCCGCCTCAGTCTTCTTCCCAACCATTTATATTGTTGGTTTTTTTCCCCCTGATGCCCTAATGTGATGGGCTCTGTATTCAACACTTGTGTTAGTTGACCACTGTCACCTCCCCCAAGTCTAAAGCAAGCTGAGCAAGAAAGGAGATATTTCTCCCACTTTGGTAAGCACTCCCACACCGCTGGTGTTCAGTATACTATGAATGTGCGAACGGTCCTCACAGCACCACAGGGTCGCAACAGTTATTTTTTCTCATTTCTCTCCTCACCTGTCCTTCCCCACTCACACTCAGAGTCTTTACAGCTGCTGTCACTTTTCCACCATCTTATTCTCGGGTCACCAGCCTGTATCTTTCTACTTACTACCTTCAATTTTGAGGAATTGTTTTTGTTTTTGTTTTGTTTCGGTTTTTTATTATTTATTTATTTGTTTGTTTGTTTGCTAGAGCTTTTTTATTTATTTATTATGTATACAATATTGTATCTGTGTGCATGTCTGCAGGCCAGAAGAGGGCACCAGACCTCATTACAGATGGTTGTGAGCCACCATGTGGTTGCTAAGAATTGAACTCAGGACCTTTGGAAGAGCAGACAATGCTCTTAGCCATTGAGCCATCTCTCCAGCCCTTGTTTCATTTTTTGAGACAGAGTTATTCTGTATAGGCCTGGCTGTTCTGGAACTCACTCTGTAGACAAGCCTGGCTTCGAACTCACAGAGATCCACCTGCCTCTACTTCCTGAGTGTTAGGATTAAAAGTGTGCCAACAATGCCCAGCATTTGGATAGCCTTTTAAGGGACTTCTTATCCTAAACAGTCAAGTAAGACGAAGTCCCCAATAAAGCATCATGTCCCCACTCCCCACTCTATGCGCACACACACATGCATGCACACACACACACACACCTTTTTATTTTCATAGCCATAAAATGTTAACCCAAAGTCTGGCTAAGCCTCAGAAAAAAAAAATTCACAAGTTGGAAATGTGCCTATTTTTCTATTCTCTGAAATCTGTGAAAATGGGAGTTATTTCCTCAGGTATTTAAAATATGATAGGCCAACTATGTGCTTTAATTTGTGGGAAAGTGATTTATGTATTAAATACATTTAATGAGCATAATATATTTAAGCATAATTTTCTACTCTATTTTAGATCTATTGTGATGAGTTGCATCCTTCTAAAGTTTACTCATTTCACCTAAATTTTTATTGGCAGTTATTCATACAATCTTATTTAATTTTAGTAAGATCTGCAGTAATATTCTCTTTTCCATTTTTACTGTCTTTGTTTTCTTTCTTTATTGTACTTAATCAAGACCTTCCATTGATGGAGGAAGGTCATTGAGCAATAAAGAAACTACTTGGCTGGCCCTGATAGGTTAAAGCATAGGTGGGAGGAGTAAACAGAATAGGATGCTGGCGGAAGAGAAAGTGAGGTCAGACTCTGCTCTGCTCCCGGAGAGACCCGACAGCTCTGCTCTCTGGAGCAGAGACACCATGCTCAGCTCTCCCGGGTAGACTCGATAGCTCTGCTCTCTGGAGCAGAGACACCATGCTCAGCTCTCCCAGGCAGCTCCAACCCAGGATGGACGGAGGCTAGAATCTTCCCGGTAAGCGCACCTTGGGGTGCTTACATACATTACTAGAAATGGGCTAGTCCAGGTGCGAGAGTTAGCCAAGAAGAGGCTGGATAGAAATGGGCCAAGCGGTGTTTAAATGAATACAGTTTGTGTGTTGTTATTTCGGGCATGAGCTAGCAGGCGGCCGGGGTGCTGGGGACGCAGCCCTGCCACCACTCCTATTTCAACATTCCATGAAGTTTATAAATTTTAGGACAAATTTCCAAGAATAATTTTGACTTTGCTGAATTTATTGCAAATGCTTTCAATTTTACAGATTTGTGCTCTTACCTTTTATTGCATTTCTTTGAATTTCTAATTAATTGCTGTCTTTTCCCAGGCTTAGCATGTCTGCTTGCACCACTGATATTTCTCATTCTCTCTTTAAAGTGTGTCTGTTGTTATAGGGTCAGCATACCCCACAGATAGAGGTTCCCTTGTCACTGGTGAAAGCAGTTTGTGGATCTGGGTCAGACTCAGTGCACTTGTGTCGTATGGATGGGGCCCTCAGTCTGATCACCAGCACCAAAGGTTCTCCTAATTTCTTCTTTTGCTTATGTTCACCAAGAAGTACAATGTTTAATTTTCTAACTTCTGGGAGTTTTCTACTTGACTTTCTATTGATCTGGAGAAGAGAAGATATGTATACCACCAAAATTAATCAATATTCAGTTTGAAAAGAAGAAACTCCTTGATAAAGAGAAACGACAGCTCATCTACAGAGGTGACAACCATACAAGTTATAGAAAAACCTCACTAGTGTTGGGGCAGGGTTCTGTTCTTGTCTGTGTAGGAAAATAGAAAATACCAATCTTCAAGAATTCAGGAGACCTGAGACATCTAGACATCTGAAGAAGAAAGAATCCAGAAAGAATTACCAATCAAAGAAAAATCTGACTTAAGATATCAATATTCTCTGCAAGTAAACTCTGAAGAAGATTGGGCATACACCAACGATTCCACCTGGTCCATTTAAAGATTGGCTTTGGACTACAAACTGCTCAGAGTAATTTTGAGGTGGCTAGCTGAGATGATCCAACCTAACAGATTACTCTAGCCAGGATTTGAGACAAGCCCTGCACTTTCTCATTGTGCAGAGACTGAACAACAAATGATAAAGCTACCTCTCTCAGGACTTCAAAATTAACACAAATTTTTCTTTTCAGGATCAGCTAAAGATGCCATTGTCCCAAGACATCAGGAAGCAAATTTAAGAACACAATGCCCACATTCTCAAGAGGTAGGGTGGGTGGCTTTTGGTCGTTCAATGGATTATGGATTATCTGTCATTGTTTAGAGTGTTGGTTACAAGTTATTATTGGTAATGGTCAGAAAAAAAGCTAAACAAAGGAAATTAGATTTAAGGTTATTGTTTTGAAAGAACAAAAAGGGAGATATAGATAAGATAAAAGAGTAGATTACTGAATCTAATCTGAAAATAAAAAAGCAAGAATATAGAAATAAGATAAAAAGGTAGGGGGGCTGGAGAGATGGCTCAGAGGTTAAGAGCACTGATTGTTCTTCCAGAGGTCCTGAGTTCAATTCCCAGCAACCACATGGTAGCTCACAACCATCAGATGTAATGAAATCTGGTACCCTCTTCTAGCTTGCAGGCATACATGCAGACAAAATACTGTATAAAAAATAAATAAATAAATCTTTTTTAAAAAAAGATAAAAAGGTAGATTATTGAATCTACTTTTTATTTTATTTTTTTGTTGGTACATCTTTTTTTGAATTTTTTTAATGTACTTTTTAAAAGGAACTAACTCTTAATTTTAAATGTTTTATATTGGATTGGACTTTTGTATCTTGTATACAAATTTTGTATATTGATACAAATTTGAGATTACTTTTGGTAAAATATACTGTACATATGTCTCTAATCTTGTTCAAGGTATTGTACCTATACAGCTCATTTAACAATGTAATGCAAACAACTTATAATGCACAGCCTTCAGACCAAATTAAAATTTGCAGGCAAATGGATGGATCTAGAAAACATATTGAGTATGTTTTCAATACTCAGAAACCAGACCCAGAAAGACAAATATCATATGTGGCTTTTAGACATAAAGCAAAGGAAAAGCAACCTACAATACACAATCCCAGAGAATCTAGACAATAAATGAAGACCCTAAGAGATACATGAATCTAATCTACATGGGAAGTAGAAAAAGACAAAATCTCCTGAATAAATTGGGAGCATGGGAACTATGGGAGAGGGTAGAAGGGGAGGGGAGAGGAAGGCAGGAGAGCAAAGAAAAAAAGTATAGCTCAATAAAATCAATAAAAAAAATTAAAAAACAATGTAATATAAATTTCTAGTCTTTGAAAATTATTACCAATGTTTAAGATAATAAAGAAATGCAGGTTAGTAATAGTCATTTATTATGACCAAATTTGTAGTCACATTGGTATGTTTTCAAGGTCAAACAAACACTTCAAACATTTCAGAGTTATACAGAATATGGCATGTAAAATGTTTTAATAACAAAGGCTCTTTTTTTTTTATGACAATGAGACATGTCTGCTCCTGGTAGCACCAATCTACTTCAGAGAAGATAGTGGGTATCAAAGAAACTCCACATGGAGTTGACTTTTTGTGGCAAAAGTAAACTACTGGGCAAGAAAATGCCCTTGCCTCGATTGCTGACAGTATGCTGTCCTAACTGGACAAGCAATAACACAACATTGTTTAATGTAAGGACAAGCCTGAGAAAGCTTTTAAAAAGGATTCTAGACAGACAAGAACAGAGCCAAGTGCAGCTTCTTGGTAACTGTGTTTACTCTGGTAGGCTCTGTTGGCTGGTGGTAAGCAGAGGCACAGCTCCTTTAAGAAGGGCTTTCTGACTCAGCATTAGAGGCAAAAACCTTGCAGTTCTTTTAAGAGGCTCTGCCACCAAACACTTAAATAGTGTTTATTAGCAGCCGGATCAGGCTTCTTGGTGGTGGCATGGACCTAGAAATTCCACAGAATTGTGACAATAAGTGTGGCTCCCGCCAGTACCTCCATCATGAAACTAGACTCTCAAAAAGCTAAGAAATGGGGTGGAGCCAGTTGCCAAAGCAGCTTTAATCTATCCACAGCGCTTAGCAGTTGAAACACTCATGTGGTCAGAAAAAGATAGAGATATACAGTAAAGACAGATTCAGATGAAAAAAAAACTCTAAAAAGTTACATATGTTTGGGAGAGAAAAGAAAAAGAATACAGAAAGTCCTTTTAAAAAGGAAAGAGTAGTCAGGCGTGGTGGCACAAGCCTTTAGTCCCAGAATCTGGGAGGCAGAGGCATGCAGATCTCTGTGAACTTGAGGCCAGCCTGTTCTACAGAGTGAGTTCCAGGACAGCCAATGATACACAGAGAAAGCCTGTCTCAAATAAATAAATAAATAAATAAATAAATAAATAAATAAATAAATAAATAAAAAATAGAAAAAATACACGTAAAGATGGAAAATACACAGAGAATCTGGACAGTCTATATTATTGTGTTGTCTTCAAATTGTTTGACTGCTGAGGAAGGAACAACAGCTGCTAAAAGACATTTGATTTTAAATGTTGCTGGATTAATCCAACCTATATATTTTGAAAATGCCTTGACTTCAAAATTTAAGTTAAAAGATGTGTTACTTTGGAGAAGATAGTTTGCTTTTGTTTCCACAGGAAATGAGAGGCTGTGGATTCATTCTGGGTTAAGAAAAATCAAGTTTGATTAAGGAAGTCCCCCCCCTGAAAAATCTCCAATAGAAGCCCAGTTTATCCAATATTTCAGAGGACCTCTGTTGGAGTTTCCTTTGAGTTCTCATCCAAAACAGCCTCAAGACTGCTAACTGAAATGATCAAGTCTCATAGAATATTCCAGTCAGGACCTAATTTTCTTTATCCTAAATTTTCTTTAGGTCCCCATAAGATTATCAGTGCCCCCAATCATCAAGTTGCCTAGAAACTTTGCCCACATTCCCAAAAATTGAATTATGGATGTTTGTCTTTGTTTAGAGTGTTGGTTACAAGTTGTTATGGATAATGGTCAAGAAAAAAAGGTAAACAAAGGAGATTAGATTCAGAGTTCTTATTTTGAAAACAAGAAAAGGGGGGAGTACTGTGGGACAATGGTCTCATAAAGATTTGTCACTTGTATTGATTTAATAAAACTCTGATTGGCCAGTAGCCAGGCAGGAAGTAGAGGCGGGGCCAAGAGAACAGGAGAATCCCGGGAAGAGGAAAGGGTCAGTCTTCAGTTGTCACCCAGTCCAAAAGGAAACAAGATGAGAATGCCTCACTGATAAAAGGTACCAAGCCATGTGGCTAACACAGACAAAACTTATGGGTTAAAATGTAAGAGTTAGTTAATAAGAAGCCTGGGCTAATAGGCCAACCAGTTTATAATTAATGTAGGCTTCTGTGTGTTTCTTTGGGACTGAATGGCTGTGGGACTGGGCGGGACAGAAACTTCCATTTCCAAAAAATAAAAATAAAAACGTATCCTTCCCTTTGTCATTCCCTTCTTTAGGAGTCCATGTTTTTATCTGTCATCAATTGCTTCTGCCTGAAAAAAAATACCTGTTTCTTTTAGTATAGGCCTGTGAGTAAGAAATTCTCCAGGTTTCTGTAGGTCTGAAAATGCATAACTTCTAGTTTAGTTCTTAAAGGGCGTTGCTCACTTTGAGCGCTTGGAGCATGTTTGTCACTGTGGCCGACATTCTCCTTTGAAAAGCCCCCACTTAAGCTGTCTGCTCCAACTTTCAAGCTGCAGCTTCCCCACCTCTCTGGCTATTTTTAAGACCCCTCTCCCCCTGGTATCTAGTGCTCAGTATTCTGACTGAATTCTCTCCTGCTGTACTTTTGTTTGTTCTTCTTTATTATCTACATTTATGCTTCTTCTACCTTTTCAAGCCTTAACTTGCTTACATTTGTAGATTTTTTAAAATCTGCAGATAGTATGTCTTAAAATACAGCTTCTACCCTGGCCTTTCTCTTGTCCTTCCTGGGATTCAATTACACACACCAGATAATTCTCACTCTGTGTTGTGGCTTTACAGTCTCTTTTATAAGCTCCCCTTCCTTATCTTCTCTTCAAGTTGAAAATTTCCCACTGTCCTCTCTCCAGCTCCCTAACCCTGCCACCTCTGATAACTTGCTATTAAACTAACTTAGCCACCTAATTTTTAGTTTCAATTATTGTATTTTTGGAGAAAGCACCTAAAATTTGATTATCTAATTGATTTTAATGTTCTGATCAAATTCATTGCTTGTCAATTTATTTATACATAACCATGTTATTATAATTTTATTTTAAAAATGCAGATCAACTGATTTGCTCTCAGGATCACACATGGTCCTGTTCCTACTCTGGTTTCGCTCTTGGTTCTAGTGACCTGACCCCAGTCTCTGGTGTGTCTAGTGATTTAGTGGACAACAGGCAATGAGTAGAAAATTCTGTACAAATTTTGGATATTTTCTTTTTAATTTCTTCCTGGAAAGGAGAATCCACTGAAGTAGGTCACACTAAACAGGTCCTGTTAGGATGAGCAGAGGCTCAGTATCATGATCTGTGACATCAGATCTACTTCAGCCTTGCCTTTATTCCTAGCATGGAGGCCCTAGGAGCTTCAACCAAAGTCAGGGGTGTTTAGCTAGAACTCTGCTACTTCAAAATCCTAGACTTCATTTTCCATCTCCCTAGCCCTAAGCGAATGCCGAAGTTCCTACTCTTGCTTTCTATCTGAATTGAGCACGTTGAAAACCACATACAGCCTCTGCAATGGGAATACAGTAGCAACACAAAGTTGGCACTCTCCACTTGTCTTGCAGAGCTTGGTCCTTTGGGTACTGGTGGTCCTAGCTGTTACTAGTTTTTCATGCAGTCATCTCAGAGTGTGTGCTTACTACTATGTTTTAGACCCAACTTTCACAGTTGTTTTCAACCAGAGGTTTTTGGGTTTTTTGTTTTGTTTTGCTTTTTTTATACAAACTGTTCATCACAGAAAGAGGTAGAGTCCTGATGTGGGAAGGTCATTTGTCAATCTGTTGTTTCATTGGTTAATCAATAAAGAAAACTGCTCGGTCTGATAGGTCAGAAAATTAGGTAGGTGGAGTAGACAGAACAGAATGCTGGAAAGAAGAGAAGTGAGCCAGACGCCATGCCTCTCCTCTCTGGTCAGATGCGATGGAGCAAGCTGCCAGGTCAGACATGCTGAATCTTTCCCGGTAAGACACCACCTTGTGGTGCTACACAGATTACTAAATATGGGTTAAGCAAGACATGAGAGTTAGCCAAGAAGAGGCTAGATATAATGGGCCAGGCAGTGTTTAAATGAATACAGTTTGTGTGTTGTTATTTCAGGGTATAAGCTAGCCAGGCAGCCGGGAGCCGGGTGACAGGAACGCAGCCCGCCATTCCATCTACAGAGTCCTGTCCTAATTCTTTGAAATTCGAAAAGGAATGTTGCTCTGACAACTATACACTGCTCAATACCATCACTGGGTAGATACATCTGATATATCCTAGAAAACTACCTCTTCAAAGTTCTCGTCAAGATGTTTCAGTCAAGATTTTATCCTATGCACCCACTGGACACTGGGACATGGCACTGTTTTAACATTTCACCTGTTCAACACAACTCTGTGAGTGCATAGCTTATGACTCCATTCGTACACTGGCAGCATCACCTTTTCTATTTACTCACTGGTCATTCAAGGCCCATCTGGTGGAAGACTAGGGAAAGAAGTCAAGAAGAAAAAAGCTTTCTTCCCAGACCCTTTTATCCTGCTTGCAACATTTCTCTGTGGCTCCAGGCCTTGCTCTGCAGCCACTATGGTTCAACATCACTGATTTATCATAGACTTTGTGAAAGGCCAAAATTAAGTTATGGTCTTCAGCCAGTGCAGGATCAATATCGTACATTTTTTAACTCATCTGAAAGACTGCTCTGAGATGAGTATTCTAGGGTTCTGCGCCCACCTTGGGCTGCCTAGAGAATTATTTCCCCACATCGAGACATCTAGACACTCCATGGCTAAAGAAAGCCATGCTTCAAAAGGGTCTAATTAATGCTTGAGCTGGTGGCAGACCTTGGTATCATTTTCATGGTGATAGTTTTACAAGCATACAAATACAAAAACCACTGGGTCATGGAGGCTTCTCCCTATATTTCAAGAGATCAGTGTCACAAAGCCACAATGCAACATGAGTCAAGCTCAATCTGCCTAGCAAGATTCTGTCCACCTGATCAGAAATGTATGACTGTGATTCTGCTGGAGTCTAAACGACCATGGGCTCTTGGGCTGAGTCACAACAGTCAGTCATTAGAGAGCAAGCATCTAGTATACAGAACAGTACACAGTGACCAGAATAAGAGGTGAACACAAAGGGAACCGTATTACTAATGAAGGAATTGACCAGGCTAGGGACATAGCTCACAAGATACTGGTTTCAATCCCCAATTTACCTCAACAGTCAACAATGAAAAGTGGGAAACTCTGGTTTGAAGAGCGTGTTGAGAAAGGGTTCATTAAAATGCACTAATGCAAAGCTACAGCTGAGATGAGCTCAATGAGAACATCTGCTAAAGTGCACGAGGCCCTGGATTTCATCCACAGCAGAACGTGTGCACACACACAAATACCTGTGCCAAATTCCTCGATATACCTACTTTTGTTTGAGGGCCTGACTCCGGCTCTTCTGGCGATGTGAGGCTGTTACAAAATCCACAAAAATTCCACAAACAGGGGCTCTGGAAACGGAATCATTTCCATCTGCATAAGGGAAAAAAGTTATTTTGTGATAATGAAATAGCTCCTTCAAACAAAAAAGTAAAACAATTATAGTCACATTAAAATCGCACTCAATAATTTTTACTTGAAATTGATGAATCATACCAGTAAGAGTTTTAGAAATATTTACGAATATGTGTATAAAATACAGTTTTCTGTTTCTATCCTATGTACTTTGGGGGAAAAAAAAACCAAAGCTATAACCCTCAATTATGGTTTCACTTTCTAAGACTCCGTTTATCTACAGTCAATTGTGGTCTCAAAGTTATTAAATGAGTAATTCCAAAACCAACAGCTGGTAAGTGTTGACTTGCATGTTGTTCTGAGTAGCTTGATGAACTCTCACAATGTTTTGCTAGAATGTGAGCCATCCTGTATGCAAGCTAGATGTGCTCCTAGAATGTGAGCCATCCTGTAGGCAGGCTAGATGTGCTCCTAGAATGTGAGCCATCCTGTAAGCAGGCTAGATGTGCTCCTAGAATGTGAGCCATCCTGTAGGCAGGCTAGATGTGCTCCTAGAATGTGAACCATCCTGTAGGCAGGCTAGATGTGCTCCCTGAGCCCAGTTCATTACTTGTCACTGCAGTCACAGCCATCAGATCAGCTCTTGGTATCACACTGCTAAGACTCAAGGAACCCCTAATGATGCCCTAAAAGGACAAGAGCAATGTGGATTGCCAAAGAGGAACCATTAGCGCCTTCTTCAAGGCCACCAGATGGTGTAGCAGATGAAGCAAAACTTACCAACTAGCCTGACAACCTGAGAACCCATAAGATAGAAGGAGAGAACTGGTGTAGGAGGGTCATCTGTCTATGTGTTACTTTCATTGGTTAATAAAGAAACTGCCTTGGCCTTTTGATAGGCCAGCCCTTAGGTGGGTAGAGAAGATTGAACAGAATACTGGGAGAAAGAAGCAGAGTCAGGCAGACGCCATGAATCTCTGGCCCGAGACAGATGTAAATTAGGATCTTTCCCGGTAAGCCTCAGCCTCGTGGTGCTACACAGATTTAATGGAAATTGGTTAATCAAGATGTGAGAGTTAGTCAATAAGAGGCTAGAAATAATGGGCCAGGCAGTGTTTAAATGAATACAGTTTCTGTGTAATTATTTCGGGTAAAGCTAGCTGGGCGGCTGGGAGGGACAAAAAGCAGCCCGCTTCCCTATTACAACAGAGAACCAACTCTAGAAAGTTGCCCTCTGATCCCAACATAAAACATGGACAAGCACATTGGTCTAACACACATATATAAATAAATAAAATAAATAAATAAATTTTAAAAAGACCTTCCTTAAAATAAAAAAGTGAATGTCCACAATTTAAGGAAAGAAAACAACCCCCCTGAGGCTGCTGAGTTCAATTGTAAAAAGTCCCCTATTCATGAAAACATGAAGAATAACAAATTCACACTACATGTGCTGCACCATCTTAACCTGCAAAGTTTCCACACCAGTACATGATGTGAGCCTAATTAGGAGGGACAAGGCACTACACTTGCACTGGAGAACATGTTCAAGCTGATGCAGAGTGCTGCATCAGAAAGCACTCGGGGGCCAAAGGTCATTCAGTGCTCCAGCCCTTGCTGCTCTAGCAGAGGACCTGAGTTTTGTTCCCAGCTCTCAACTGTCCAAATCTCCAGTTCCAGAGGGTCTGATACCCTCTTCTGACCTCCTCAAGCAGCAGGTGTACATGTATATATTCAAGACACTCATAAAATAAAAATAAACAACCCTTTCAGAAAGCACTTAGGCTATGAAGGCCTCAGCAAGGGTCTCCCTGACCTGCAGGTGAAGAAGCTGGTTAGGGAGGATGGACAATACCTGAAGCAAGTCTTCAACTGCAGCAAAACCAGGCTCTCCTGAAAGATGCCAGGTGGAAACCACAGTCACAAAACTAGGAAGATGCAGATATAAGCCTACAATCCTAGCACTCAGAAGGCTGATGCAGAAAAAATTAAGAGTTGAAGACAAGTCTGGGCTATACAGTTAGACTATCAAAGAAACAAAACTGCAAAAAAAAAAAAAAAAGTAATATGAGAAGTTTATAACCAAATAAACCCTAGGAGGCAGAAGAATGTTCTCCTAAAACAACCTTATGGCAGTCATGGTTAGCCAAACAGGTACAGTTTGCTACAAATGTGGTGATTAATCAGGAGTCATAGCCATCATAGCCTAGCACTTATATATACTGCTCATGTTCTTGAGCTCACCATATCTATTAACTTATTTAATTATCACTCTAGAGGAGGTCTCACCCTTACAGAAACTAAAAGCAGAGACTAAAAGTCAGTGTCCTAGTTAGCATTTACTGTTATACTATATATCTGTTTCTACTTCTGTTTAAGATTTTTTTTATACTGATACAAATTTAAGGTTATTTTTTGTTATACTGTATATACATTTCTACTTCCAATTCAGGTATTTTGTATTTTGTTACAAATTTGAAGTTATTGTCCTATATTGTATATCTGTTTCTATTTTTGCTTATGACATTATCTATACAGCTCATATTGATACAGCTTGTTTATTTATGCAATGTGAAGTTTTAGCCCATAAAAGCTATATTGGATAATAAGGAAATACAGATTAACAGCCACCCATAATTATCAAACTTATAGTCAAATTAGTTGGTTTTTCTAGGTATACAGAGATATGTTTCAAATAGATAGGTAATCTTCAAACACTTTAAAGACCTACAGAATGTGGCATTTAAAGTGTTTTAATAACTTAGACTTGTTTTGATATGATATACGTCTGTTCCTGGCAGCATCAATCTACTTCTAAAGAGGATGATGGGTACCAAAGACACACCATATGAAGTTTGCTTTCTTTGTGACACAAGATAGCCCTTAGGGCAAGAAACTGCCCTTTCTTTAACTGCTGACAGTTATGCTGTCCAAACTGGACAAACAGAACACAAAGAAAAGCAACTGCCAAATTTTGCCCAGACAAGATAGGACAGTCCTTCAAAATTTCCTGCTACTGAAAAGGTCTGTCAGATATTCTAGACCTCTAGGCCAAAGATGCATGCCCCAAGGTGGTAGAGGAACCTTAGGTGACTGTTCCAGCAGCCAGCTGTTTCTGTTAGTTCTCACATTTTGTAAGTCACTTGTTTGCACATCCTGCTTACTCAGGTAATATTTTCCTTGCTGTGTGCAATTTCATTTTTGTTAAGGTTATCACCTTTCTTTTCTATCTGGATAATATTTGATAATAATTCTTATTGTATATAGTTTTACCATGTTAGGGTTAGAACCTTTCCTTCTTAATTAGATAAAAAGGGGGAACTGGTAGGGGAATTCTGTCACCAACCTACTAGACAATTGAAAGGAGCATTTTAGTCCTTTTGGTTTTCATGGGAAATGGCTGTGACCAAAAGAAAAGGTAGGGCCGAGCAATACTTGCCCTCTTTGGTCTGGGAACAAATGGCAGTTGTGGCAGAGGCAAGGTGGTGGTGAGGAGGACATCACCAAAGGGAATAAGAACACAGGCCTAGAGGCTGCACAAGAGGCTAACAATGCAAGGCAACATACATAGTTGTACATAGGAACAGTGACTGACATTTCATAGCCATCCTTAACACACGTCTTGTGCCACAGGCACATCGCATAGCATTGCCTGATATATCAAGTATAAAATCTGCCCACCTTGTGGAACTTTTCAGCAAATGTCTACATAGCTCCCAGAACATGTTTCCCAGTTTTAAGTGTCCCTGTCTATACCTTCCCAGGGCTCCTTCTCATACTCCATTCGACCTTGCTTCTGAGACAGTTTCAAAGATAACTCTCCAACCCTTTCATTCTCCGCACTGATTGCCTTTTGAATTTCTTGTATCTCCCTTTTCTGGGCTAGAGGAAGTTCTTCAGCCTTTTCTTTAGAGTCATGCTCATTATTGCTGTCATCATCTCCATCACAAACCTCAAAGTCATCTTCATAATCCTATAAACAAGAATAAGGATTTTACCACCCATCACACAAATCACAAATGAGTTAATACCTAAAACAAAGCATCACAATTAATGATTCAAGCCGGATGGTGGTGGTGCACGCCTTTAATCCCAGCACACGGGAGGCAGAGGCAGGCGGATCTCTGTGAGCTCGAGACCAGCCTGGTCTACAAGAGCTAGTTCCAGGACAGGCTCCAAAGCCACAGAGAAACCCTGTCTCGAAAAATCCAAAAAAAAAAATTTATGATTCAAAATAAGAAAAAAAAAACCTTATTATTGCTAAAGGAAATTTTATAATGCACTGATTTTAATATTGCTAGATTGTAAATTTGCAATATACTGCTGCCTTTGTTTTTCTGAAAATGAACCATGACATAGAACCTTGTATATGAAGAAGTATAAATAATGTATAAACATTGTGCTAAGATTGTGAAGGGTTATGCACACATATAGTTAGATATGCACACACACACATAAATGCTTGAATACAGTGTACTTAAAATGGGGTTAAATTGTAAAACTCTTTAATTATCAAACACAGTGAGGACAAGCATTGGTGGGACTATAGCAAGCGTTGCACAGGTAGTGACCAGATCTACATCAAAACTTAACAGACATGGACAAGAGAGAAAAGGCTAACCAAATTACTTTGCATGCACCAGTCAGTGGAAGCACATGCCTTTAATCCCAGTACTTGGAAGGCAGAGACAGGTGGATCTCTTGAGTTCTAGGAGAGAAACCCTGACTTAAAAAAAATTACAACACAGGCACTAATTTTTAAGAAGACATTGTTAAGCTGAGAAAAATTTAAATTTTATACATACTTCAAAATCATCTTCAAAATATTCATCAGCCGCAGTAGCCTCTAAATCAATGTCTTCCTTTTCAGGTTCCTGGAAGCAAATGTCAAATATGAAATAAAACATTCAACCATAAGCTTCACTATTGCAAACAGGCTGAAAACCCTTGTTTTCTAGGGATTGTGAGGTGAATTATTGTAAGAGATAACCTTGTAAGAACACACTATACATTTTAAAAAGCTAAAAGAACTTTAAGCTTTCACCATAAAAAAGTAAAAACTGTTTAAAAGATGTTTACTCTAGTGAACATTATATAATATACATGTGACCAGATACAGAACAGTTGTTTCGGATTCTATAAAAAATGGGGCATCTCAGAAAGTGTGTATGAAAACAAATTACTACAGTGGGTCTCAGAAAACATTAAGCAACTAGAATAATGAAGCCAAGTATACATAGGAAGAAATTAGATCTTTGCAATCAGTAGCTATACATTTTTAATCTTTTCTGTAAACTGTTTATCAATTCTGATTTAAACTGTTTCATAACTTGATCACTTAATTTCTCTTTTAAAAGTATCAGCTTCCTTTTTAAGGTTTAGTTTCAAATTTTAATGACAGACTTTTTTTAATTTTCTGTTAAATGAACATTAACACCTGGTTGTGATGGCAAACACCAGAAATCTATGCTGATTGGTAGACAGAGGCAGGCAGAGCAGTGGTAGCACACTCTTTTAATCCCAGCACTGGCAAGTGGATCTCTGTGAGTTCAAGGCCAATCTGGTCTACAGAGGGAGTTCTAGGACAAGCTCCAATGCTACACAGAATAACCCTATCTTGAAAAAAAAAAAAGGAAGAAAGGAAGAGAAGGAGGGAGAATGGAAGGAAGGAAGGAAGGAAGGAAGGAAGGAAGGAAGGAAGGAAAGAAAGAAGGAAGGACGGACGATCACTTGGGCCCATGATCTCTAGACCAGCCTGCTCAACATAGCAAAACCTCTCATATCTGGGGGCGGAAGGGCAGAACACTTAACCACATAACTAAAAGATTTGAGTTCACACTTTTTAAAGAATTAGTAATCTCCCTCTATTGATTACAAAGTAGTGACTTAAGTCATATTTTGTTATGTCATAACCATTGATGATTAACAATGTCAACTTAGAGAAGCTCCTACAATATCTACAAAGCACACTCCTAACTGTCATGAAGATGTGTCCAAAGAGTTAGGATCAGTCAGCAGAAAGACCCACCTAAATGTGGACGGCACATCACATATGCTAGAGGCCTAAAGAGCAGTAACACAGGCCTGTTCCCTCTGCCACAATGGACTGGTCTCTGAAAACATGAGATGAGAACATCTGTCCTCCTTCATTTCTTTATAGCATACATTTTGTTGCAGTAACCAAAGATTAGCAGGATATTCGACCCTGAGCAACTTTCTCTACGTGTTGACATGGAAAACAATGATACCTTCGCTTCCCTCCTCTTGTGCTCTTCTCTCCCAGATCTCTCTCTTTTATCTGCATGACTGCGGCGCCTCTCCTCATCATGATGGAGTCCTTCCTTGTGCCGCTTCTCTCGGTGTCTCTCTTCCACTTCCCTGTCAGAGAGCGAGTTCCCCTTCTCTTTGGAATGTTTCTCTCTTTTCTCCCCTGTGCTGCTTCTGTCTCGGTGCCTCTTGTCCCGATCTGTATCTCTCACCTTCCTGTGCTTCTTTTCACCTTCCTCTTTATACAGCCAGTAGTTGAGAGGATTCTCTTTACTGTCTCCGTACTGCAGCTTTGAAACCAACAGTGAAATCTATGTGAGCAAAGGGGTCACAAGCACTGTCTGTGTATTTTAGGATGAAAGAAGCAGAAAAAAAAATACAAACAAACAAAAAAAAAATCACAGAGCCAGCACTGCTCTGTATCCCTACAATCCTCAGTCTGCTGTCCTGGAAGAAAAGTGATCCTCATTCACACCAAGAAGCACTGCAAAGCAGCAGCATCTAAGCCAAGATGCCCCCCTGGACAGACGTTAAAAATGTCAAAATTCCTCAGGATGATGGTGTGGGTGCCCTGTGTGAAGGCTTGGTCTGTAGGCAGTCACTGCTGGGAGGTACTGTGGCCTGCAGGAGGTACAGCCCCAGGAAAGGCTGCGGGGACTGGGGCCTCAACTCTTCCTATTCCTCCCTCCTCCTCGCTCTTACCTGACTTGGGACGTGAGTAGCATTGCTCTACCATACATTCCCACAACATGCCACTGTCCTACAACAGGGCCAAGGAGTCCTGGGCTGAAAGTTCCAATACTATGCATCAAAGTCAACCTTTCTTTTTATATATTGATTTCTTTGGATATACTATTATAGTTACAGAGAACTAACCCAGACACACAGCAAAGCACATAGAATTGGCCTTCTTTCTTGCTCCACAACACTCTTAATTTGTCCTTCACCTTCAGCTCCACAGTCCTGTAGGCTCTGCGGCAAGGTCTTGGTGACTTCCGTAGGAAGGCAGTCCCTGTGGAGAACACCAGCACCTGTGCTGCTGTCTGCATGCAGGGACACGGTATGCCGCCTTCCCTTAGCTGTTCCTCATTCCCACCCAGACAAAATGACTATCATCAGTCATCTCTTTATCCCAACAGCACCACCAAAGTTCAGCAAGTCACTCGTGACAGGAGTCATTACGATGGCGTCCTAGCTCTGATTCCATCTCGGAATCAGACCCTGAGCAAGCCTGACTGGATCCGTCCAAGCCAAGGGGTGCTGCACTCACTCACTCCCACGGCACACCTTGGTTCTCTATGTTCCTTTCACCAATCTGGGGTGCTTAAGAGTCCCCCTACCTCCTTCTTCGGTTCTCCTCAGCTCTAGTTCACCCTGTTTATTTCTGCCAGGACAGTATTTCTAGAGAAATTAGGGTGTTCTGACTGAGCCCCTCAGCCTTAAAGGCAGGTCAGTACCTAAGATCACTTGTCAAAATTAACTATGTGAATTAAAAAGCTAAGTCTAAAGAACTTTTACAGACCCCTAATAAAACCCAGACAATCACTTCCATCACTATGGAGGAGGAAGACGGTTTGTGGAACATTCTCTCTGCCAAAGTACAGACTTATCTATGTCATAATTTTTACTTACTTATAAAAGATTCCTCAAATCAAATTTTTTTAAAAACAATAGTATCATAAAAGCATAGCAAAGAGTTAACCTTTTAAAGTATACCCAAGACTTGCCACTAGAAAGTAAGTGCTACACAAGCGGTAATTAGTATGAGGGTGGTTAACGTCCATAAGAAAACACCCACACAGGGCAGAGGAGGAATCCCTTCTAATGTTCTTCAGCCCAGGATGATTTTTTTTAAAAAAACAATGGTTTTCTGGCCAGTTTTATATAAACCTGACACAAGGTGGAGCCATCTGAAAGGAAGGAACCTCGGTTGAGAAAATGCCTCCATAAGATCTCACTATAAGGCATTTTTCTTATTAGTGATTGATGGGTGAGGGCCCAGCGCATGGTGGGTGGTGCCATCGCTGCACTGGTGGTCCTGGGTCCTCTATGAAAGCAGACTGAGCAAGCCGTGGAGTAATAAGCAGCACTCCTCTAAGGTTTGTGCATCGAGTTCCTGACTCCAGGGTCAGACCTGCGTGAGTTCCTGTCCTGACTTCCTTTGGTGATGGACTCCATGTGGAAGTGTGAGCCAAATAAAGCCTCTCCTCCCCAGGGTGTTTCGTAACGGTGTTTCATCACAGCAACAGTAACCCTAAGACAAAATATCTTAGGTAACAGACATGTCAATCACCCTATTACAGAAATTAAACACTATATATACATATTGAAATGTCACACTGCCCCCATAAATAAAACAATTATTATATGTCAATTAGACGTTAAAAATATTTTTTAAAAGAGAAAATATCTAGAAGTTTCATTTCCTTCTTTTCTTAATCAGATTAGCACAACGCTCCTGAGTGCTATGCTGGCCAGACAGCAGCCTTCCCTCAGGCTGGTCCTATTACCTTTCTTTCTCGGTATCTTCTTTCTCTATCGTCATTTCCTCTCTCAGAATCTTCATCTCTCCTGTCTTTCTCCTCAGCTCGTACTTTACTTGCTAAAAAATACAACATATTTTTAATATTCCCACACTTTACCACCTGATAATATTGTACATTTTATAACTGTGCATGTGTTCATTAATTTGCATCTTAACATTCTTCAACAAAGACACATTTTCAAAACTCAAGAGTAAAAAGTGCAAGTATCTGAACTTAAGTGGAAGATAAATATGGCAGGCTAGGAACAGATACAATTCTTCTCCTCTCCCAATTTGTTACTGAGACAATCTGGGAAAGGTCTGTATTCCCCAGGAAGTGGAGAAGGGCCTCATAAATGCACATGAGAGGAGGCCGAAGACATTAAGTGTGGAGTCAGGGAAACAGGGCTCAACATAACCTGCAAGAGAAGCCACAGGTGAGGCTGATGAATCATCCAGGTATTGGTGATGTCCGAAGGCCTACCCAACACAGAAAAGCAGCCATCACAGAGAAGCAACATTAACTTACAGTTAAGAAAATCCAAAGGGCAGGGCTTTATTTAGCTCATGGTAGAGTTCTTGCCTACCATGCACAACAGCCCTTGGTTTGATCTACAAATCCTCAACATTACAATAAAACTCCATTTCAGTGGAATACTTTTATTAAAATGCTTTATTTTTGCTTATCTATAGAGACTAAGATTTATTGAGATAATAAATCAAAAAGAGTTTCAAAAGTAAAAACAGTAGTAAATACTATGAAAATGGTTTCTTTGTTGACTGAATTCTTTAAAAAAAAAAAAAAAAGCCATAGTAACAAACATAGAGAATAGAAAAAGGTGACTTCAAATCTAAAACTAAAGTATCCATGAAAACCTGAGAGAAAATAAATGAGGAACTGAAAGGGGAAATGCTTCCAACAGTGAAAACTTCTAAATAAAATACCGGCCAAGAAAATGGCTCAACAAGTAAAAGCAGGAGCCAATCAAGTCTGACAAACCCCAGAACCCATGTAAAAGCCGGATGCAGGTGCACACAGCTGCCGCATTCCTATAGCAGGATGAGCGGTGAAGCAAGGAGAATCCGCCTTAACCCCTCAGCTCAGCAAGCCTAAAGTACATCACGTGCAGAAAGAGGCCCATTTCAACAATGTGGAAGGCAAATCCTGAACATTGTCTTCTAACCTCCACGCACAGAGTGTGGCACAAATGAACACACAGTCAATCAACAAATTAATGGAGCAAAAGAAATATAGCTAGGAAACTTACAAAACATTAGGGTGATACTATAGGAGGAACCCCTAATACAGAGACGCACCTGCGCGGACCTTCTTTTCCACTCTCTCCAGCATCTGCCGGCCACGCACCTCTTGAACCAGGAGGTCATGGTAGGCAGCAGTCTGCCTGAGCTCTTCTTTCCTGGCCCTTCTGTCTTTCTCTCTCTCTCTGTCTTTGCCTCGACTATGAACCCTCTCTGAATCTTGCTCTCGATGTCTTTCTTTCGGCCTGTCTTTCTCACGGTCTTTCACCTCTTTCCTCCTTTCCTTGTGCTTCTCCCGGTCTCTCTCCCCACGAGGATGTTCTGTGGAGGGGTAAAGGTCTCTCTCAGCAGTCCTCTCCTTGTGGCGGGCCTCCCGGTCTGGGTCCCTGCTCTTATGTTCTCTGTAATCAAGAAGACCCAGTTCTGACTCCTTGTGCGTCTTCTTTTCTCTGAGTTTCTTCTCTTCCTTGGGACTACCTGATTGTACAGCCTGAAACAACACAAGGAAGAGCTTCCTTGACCAGGAAATCCACACACATTGACTTCCACTCATTAAAAACACTTTAAAAATCACTGGCTACAGTAAGATTTTCTCAATTGAGCAAGATGGGAGATGGAGCTGAATGAATATTGTTAGAAATACTAACTGGAGTCCCGTTTAACATTTCAACAAATACGATAACTGCCAATCACCCCAAACAGCAGAGATTTTCATGTTTATTGACAGATCAAATCTGAAATTTCATTAATAAAATACAGCCTATAGTAAAAAGAGATAACGAAGCTGTGTTTTAAAGTTGTTGAGGCAAGAACCACTTGTTTACTACACATGGAATAAAGCCAGTTAGACACCACAGCAGTTAAGAGGCAGAAGCAGGTGCATCTCTGTGATCTGGTTTGCATAAGTTCCAGGCCAGGCAGGGCTACATAGTGAGATCCTGTGTCAACAACAACAAAGCAAGACATGGGTGGCACATGTAAAACAGCACTCAGGAGAATGGGACAGGAGGATCACAGTCCCTTCAGTTCAAAGCCAGCCTGGATTACAGAGTGAGACCCTATTTAAAATTAATTAATTAATAAAACTTTTACTATGAAACTTTCAGAAGAACTAAATCTCAGTCATAAAACTCAAGCTGGTGGGGCCTCTAGACCAGGCACCTCAGTGCCAGAGCAGGACTCTAATCCATAGGAGCTCCAGAAGTACTAAACCCCTGGCTTCGTCTTTGATCCAAAATGCCTTCTTGTAATGAATTTCTTGTAACCAAAGCTATGCAAGGTTATGCCAAGCTGATTGCTCTGTCCAAAAGACCATGAAGGTTCTATGTGAATCCCAAATAAGTCTCTAAAATATATTACCTTAAGGTGTCTTCTAAGGTCATCTGCTTTCCAAGTGTCATCTTTGGTTCTTCTCTAAAATCAAAGTACAAAATCAGAACTATCAAGTCAGGCATTGGAACTATCAAGACAGGACACACCACATTCTATCACTCAGAAAGACTCCAAGTTCCAAGACACTTTAGGCTATATAAGGAGGTTCTAGGTGAAAAAAATTTCAAATAACCAATTTTGTGTTTTCATTATACTGTTTGTATCAAGAATAATTAACTAGCACATACTTGCTCTCCTACTGAAATGAAAGATGATCCAAACAGAGGCCACAATGGGACCCACACCTGTAACCCCAGCACTTGGGTGCCTAGGAAGGAGGATGCAGAGTCCGAGGCCAGCCTCACATACATAGGGATATTTTGTCACAAAAGGAAACAAAAAAGGATACAAATATAGATTTGTTTAAAATAATTCACTAGTCTAAAGTGATCCATAATTATTACAGGACTCATTTATTTAGCTACTTCAAAAACTACTAAACATACCGAACAAAAGAGACAACATAATGGTGGCAGCTACAGGACAGATCTAGGGCAAGCACTCTGTGAGCACGTGTCAGACGTAAACCAGAAGGATCGCACTGGCTGCTTTCTAGAGGCCTGTGTTCAAGTCCCAGCACCTACACAGCACTGACAACTGTCTTCAACTCCAGTTGCAGGGGCTCTCACCTCATCTTCTGGCCTCCTCAGAAACAGGCAAGTTTACAGATATACAAGCAGGCAAAACATCCATACACATAATTTTTTATTTAAACAAAAAATGCCAGAAAGTATTTTTTTGATAGGCCACAATAAACTCTTTCATCCCAAGTAATGAGCACAGGGCTGAGTCAAGGATTTCTGCTCCTTCTGCTGTGGCTGGCCCATCCTAGGCCAGAAGGAGACAGTGTGATTACCAAAAAATGTGGCTCCCACTTTGCCTTCCTTGGCTACCTACCACAGGAGCTCAGCTGTAAAGAAGGGGCACTATAGCAGAGGCCCCACAGTATCCACTGGAGGCCAGAATGTGAGAGTCCACCCAATGAAGCACCACATACAAGCCCCAAACATGAATCTGCCTATTTGAGATCCCAGATGTTAAAGGAGCAGAATAAGTCTTCTAAGTTGTCTGTTCTCAAATTCCAAATCCATGAAAACAAAAGCAAAATAAAAAACATCACTGATGTTCTAACAATTAAATTTAAAGTGATCTTCTTTCTCTACAAAAATAAAAAACAGTAGGTAAGGGTAGACAAAATTTTCATTTAGCATCCAATGTACATCAGATGCTATACTAGGTCAAATACACTATTTGAATCTCATAAACCTGTCAAGAAGAGTACTGGGTACTAGAGAAGTGGGTCATTTGGTAAAGGAGTTGCCTCAAATGCGGGAGGAACTGCCAGGCATAGTGGCGCACGCCTTTAATCCCAGTACTCCGGAGGCAGAGGCAGGTGGATCTCTGAGTTGAGGCCAGCTTGGTCTACAAAGCAAGTTCCAGACAGCCAAGGGTTACAGAATAAGAGCCTGTCCCAAACAAAACAAAACCAAAGTATGAGGATCTAAGACCTTGTTCTCAGAACTCCAACTTAAAAGCCTGATGTGGCTGGCCCTCCTTCCAATTCACCTCCATGCCCTAGGGCTTCAGCCTCTTGCTGCAGACCCACTGCCCGCCTAGATCTTCCCAAAAGAGAAACTCCCCACAACACATAATAATCAAAACACTAAATTACAGAAAAAAGAAAGAATATTAAATGTGGCCAGGGAAAAAGACCAAGTCACATATAAAGGTGGGCCCATTGGAATAACACCTGATTTTTCAATGGAGATTTTAAAAGCCAGGAAGGACCTAGTTAAGCTCTGAGAGACCACAGATGACAGCACAGATTACTCAACCCAGCAAAGCTATCAATCACAATCCACTAAGAAAGAAAAACATGTCAAGATACAACAAACAATTAGCTGTCAACTAATCTAGCGCTACAGAAGGCACTCCAGGGAAGCTAAGACTGCAGAGAAGGTTGACCACACCAGTAGCTCTCTTCCTAATGCTGCAGCCCTTTGATAGAGTTCCTCATGCTGTGGAGAGCCTGTTCATAAAACCATTCAGTTGTTACTCCAAAAGTGTAATTTTGCTACTGTTATGGATCATAATGTAAATATGATATGCAGGTTATCTAACATGCAACCCCCAAAGAGGATGAAATTGACAGATTAAGAACCGTTGGACTATAGACAAGAGGACACAAGAATTAAATAATCCCAGAACAGTGTATTAAATAGTGGGGGAGGGGGCAGGGAAACAACCCCACCACAACAACAACAACAAAATAACAAGAATAAACACTGCTCTTTAATAACTCCCAAGATCAATAGTCTCAATTCCCCAATAAAAAAGACATAGACTAACAGACTGGATTAAAAAAACAGGGCTCATATTTCTGCTGCATCCAAGAAACACACCTCACCTGAAGGACAGATATCACCTTAGAATCAAAGGATGGAAAAAGGTATTCCAAGCAAATGAACCCCCCCCCAAAAAAACCAAGCAGGTATAGCCACTTTAAATATGAGACAAAACAGACTTCAAGCCAAAACTAGTCAGAAGAAACAGGAAAAAAGGCATTACATACTCAGCAAAAGGGAAAAAATGGATGTTGCAGTTCTAAAGATTTATGCACCAAACACAAGGGCACCCAAGTTCATAAAAGAAACACTACCATGGCTAAAATCACACTTTGGCCTTCACACAGTGATAGTGGATGACTTCAGTACCCCACTCCCATCAACAGAGAGCTCGTCCAGACAAAAACTAAGCAGAAATACTGGAATTCAACAACATCATAGGTCAAATGGACATAACAGGCATCTACAGAACATTCCACCCAAACACTAACAAACATACCTTCTTTGCAGCAGCTCATGGAACTGTCTCCAAAAGTGACCACGTATTAGAACACAAAGCAACTTTCAGCACATATAAGGAAACTGGAATAACACCCTGTCCCCAACCCGAGCACCATGGATGAAAGCTGAATATCAACACGGCAGAAATGACAGGAAGCTCACAAACTTCGTGGACACTGAACGGCTCACTGCTTAATAAAAACTGAGCCAAGGAAGAAATCAAAAATTAAAAAGGTTTTAGAATTGAATGAAAATGAAAATACAACATACTCAAACCTAAGGGACACAGTGAACATAGTTCTAAGAGGCAAGTTCATAGCACTAACTGCTTCCATCAAACAACTGGAACTTCATGCTACACCTGACAACTCTAGAAAAAGAAGAAGAAATAACACCCCGAAACAGTAGATGGCAAGAAATAATCAAACTCAGGAGTAGAATCAATGAAAGAGTAACAACAACAAAAACCAATATAAAGAATCAATAAAACTAAGAGCTGGGTCTTTGAGGGGGAAAAAAAATCAACAAAATGGAGAAACTTGTACCCAGTAAACCAAAAGATGGAAAGACAATCCAAATTAATTAAAGCAGATGAAAAAGGACCCATTATAACAGACACTGAAGTAATTCATAGGATTTATCATAGACAATTGATGGAATCATAAGGACCAGAAAACTTAAGACATGGATTTCTTTTTTTTTTATTGGCCAAGTAGTGATTTAATTAATACAGTTTCTGTATGGTTATTTTAGGGCTGAGCAGGTGGGAACAAGAGACCTCCTACAACAACCTAAGCAAGCAAATGATACTGTGTAGCTTCCTTCCTAGAAATCAAGAATCTGAGCTTTCACACTTGTTACTAGTCGGTCACTTGGATCCCCTTTAGAGATGTGAACTTGGGACTCTATCCAAAGTAGCTCCTATATTCCAATAGACATGAATTTCTTAATACAAATGACCTACAAAAGTTAAAGTCAACAACCGTATCTACTGTCGACTCAAATGTGGCACCTTTCAGCTTTTTAATTTGTTTTTTTTTTTTTTTTGCTTTTGTCTTGTTCTGTTTTAAACTGTAAAGAAGATCAGCCCCCATAAAGGGTGCCTCGAGACCAGGAGTTCTATGCCTTCCTTAAGTTGATTCTCAGCCATGCCTCTGGGTAAGTTCAGAAACTCCTCCACAAACAGCACCTGGAGCAGAGTAGGGAGAAGCGGCTGCAAAGCTAAGAACCCCCGGACCCAAACTCCGCCTCCAGCTCTCTCCTCAGTTCCGGCCGAGGGAGAAACGCGGTCTCTGTTGCTGCGAAAGAGTGGGGGAACACGGGCGCGGGCTGAACCCCGCGGCACACCAACCTTCCCAGGCTCCATGGCTCCTCGAGGCCGGGGCAGCCGCGTGTCTTCAGCCCAGGAGGCGCGGGGCACCCGGGGAAGTCAAATCCGTCGTCAGCCTCCACTGACCAGCCAAGGCCTACGGGTCGAGGCTCCCCTAGCAGGCTGGCGTTCCCGTCTCCTAGCAACCAGTCGACGTTGCAGGCCCGGCATGCCCCACGGCTGTTCCCAGTACGCCTGCGCATACTTGCTTTTCGCAAACCGGCGGGAGCGGTTGTAAGCTAACGTTTGTGTCTGGTTTCCTGAGCTCCTGAGCGGCTTCTGTATCTTGTGGTGTCCTTGTCTCATCCTTGGTGCCCACAGTTGACAACGAAAGATGAAAAGGAGACGATGGATGAGCTTTATACTTCAACAAGCTTTGTCTTTCAAACCGCACCCCATAGACTGTCTTTTAATGAAAACCGTTTGTGGTCGGCTGTGATGGTGCACACTTTCAATCCTACTAAAATGGAGACAAGGCAGGAGCATCTTTGTGAGTTCCAGGCCAGGCTTATTCAATGCTGATCATAGGATGTAACTGCTGAAAGGTTGAGGAGTGAACGTGTGTTACCATTCTGAGCTTCTGCAGACGAGAAATTTACTTTGCCCCACTTTTCCTAGCCACAGGCTACTGTAACCCAGTTTAGGATTTATGACAGTCTGTCTGCTCAAGGTGGTCGCTAACCCAACTCCTTGGCATACAAAAAAATACTAACAAATACACTCTTTCATATTTGCCTAAAGTCTATTGTTTTCTTTGTTTCCATTTATCGGCACGTTCTTTAGAAGGAAGGTAATCTTGGTGGTGGTTGTGACTTATTTTGCTCCAGTTCTCATAGCAATTTGTTTTACTGGTTTTTGTCTATGGCCAAAAAGAATGATAAACTTTTACAGATTGCTCACCGAGGCTGGTAAATGATCTGATGCCAAAGCCCATTCTCTTAAGCCTTATATCACATCATACCCACTGGGAAAACAGCTGATGGAAAGCACCATACATTATTGCATGAGAAATAAAGCCACTGTCCACCGTGCTAGGAAAAGTCACACAAATTTCAAGCAGCATCCTCCCTTATCTGCAACCACGCTCCTACTTAAACCCACTTTTCTCCACTCTAGTCCCTAACTAACCCTTGCTTCATCACAGACAAAACCCTCTAAAATGAAGTCACCCAGTTAGGTCATGCAACCCCTGACTGACACGGTAAAATGTGCACCTCCACCACTGACAGACAGTTCACTACCCCGGGGTAACTGAAAATAACCTCGGCTAATAAGACAATAATGGCTTCCTGGGAGAACACGATATTTTTGCATAGTCACACAAGTATACAAGCTGCCATGGGTAGGAGAGGGACTTCATTCCTCTGAGTTAGGGCAGCTGTTTCAAAGTAGTGGTGAGTGGGATCATCTAGAGCAGCAGAGGCAAGCGGAATCTTCTCGATGCTACCTGATGTTGCCATGGCCAGCTCAGTGTCAAGAGTAGGACCACCAAAGGGGTATCACCCACAACTCTATCAAGGTGTTCGGAGTACATAGGTGCAGTAGAGTCTTCCAGAACAAAGCCCAAGTCCATGGCAGGTACAATGATTTCTGTGACTAGGATGGTCTCTTTCAGGTAGCCACAGCTTATTGGGAGGTGAAGTTTGTTGAATCAGTTGTGATATATCCAATTTGAACAGCTGCCAATGTGACCACCCATCTAATTAGAGCAGCTGGAAGGAACATCACCGCCCATGAGTCAGTTGTGATGTTCCTACCTAGATCAGCTGCAAACGTGATCACCCATCTAATTAGAGCAGCTGGAAGGAACATCACCTCCCATGAGTCAGTTGTGATGTTCCTACCTGGATCAGCTGCAAACGTGACCACCCATGGAAGGGTGAAGAGTAGCTGTCTGGTTGACAATGGCCCTGCTCTGAAGTTTTTGTTGCTGTTGAACCTCAAATTGACTTAAGGTCTTCAGCAGCCTGCACCACCCAAATAGTGCACAGATTCGACTCCTGGAAAAACAGGGGTAGACAGGATGTACATACACCAAGAGGTCAACAGACCATCCTTGGTAGCTTCTTTTATAAAGAAAATGTGCTTACTCATAATCCCAGCTGGGTGGAGGGCTGAGGCAAGAAGCTTTTGAGTTAAGAGACCAGACTGGGCTATATAGAGAGAAACTGTCTCTAACAAAATAACACATTATTTGAGTGCTCACATCAGGTATGAGAGAAAGGCCAATGAGATGACAGAGCTAGTTAAGATGCTCACGGTCAAGCTTGTTGACATCCTACATTCATCATTTAGGATGACATGCTAGAAGGACAGAAGAGAGAGGCTAGATCCTGCAGAATTACCAATATCTTCATGCCTCACTATTTCTGAAGAGTTAAGAGGTTTTCCACTTATAGATGGCAACAAAACAATTATTTTCTTAGTGTCTTGATATAGGTGGGTCTTCTATATATCTGTTGTTTCATTGGTTAATTAATAAAACTGCTTGGCCTGATAGGTCAGAACATAGATAGGCGGAGTAGACCAAACAGAATGCTTGGAAGAAGGGAAGTGAGGCAATCACCATGCATCTCCTCTCTGGGTCAGATACCATGGAGCCAGTCACCAGGTCAGACATGCTAAATCTTTCCCGGTAAGCCACCACCTCATGGTGCTACACAGATTATTAGAAATGGGTTAATCAAGATGTGGGAGTTATCCAGTAAGAGGCTAGAGATAATGGGCCAGGCAGTGTTTGAAAGAATACAGTTTCGTGTAATTATTTCGGGGCATAAGCTAGCCAGGTGGCCAGGAACTGGGTGGCAGGAATGCAACCCGCTGCTCCTTCTACAGCATCTGATTTGTCAATAAATCATATAAGCCTTGCAATATTTTCCACATTTGCTTATTCACTAGAAGATTCTGTGAATCCAGGCTGATAATCTGGTAACTTCCAGAGTGCTAGAACTAGAAAACATACATTCTGGCCCTCTAGTGCTCATAACTATTAAGAAAGATTATATAATCGATCATTAAATAATTTAAAAAGTGGTTGAGTAAATGACAGATATCTGCCTAGAATAAAAGAATGAATTTAAGGCAGGCTTCATTTTTGTTAGAATTTTAAGCATAATTAACCAGTAAAAAGAGCTAGTACTCAACACTCTGAGGCAGAAAAACAAAAGTAGATACAAATTTCGAGGGAAGAAAGGGTTGGAGTGCTCAGGAGTAACCAACTGTACTTATAACAAAGCTGTGCAGTTGAAATATAATGTGTGTTCTATGCGTGGTTACATATTTTCTAATAGGTAGGTGTGTGTGTGTGTGTGGACGTGTGCACACCCATGCGCGCACACACACTCTTGTAGGCCAGAAGTCAGTCTTGCGTCTGTCCTCAAGATCTGTCCAACTTGTCTTTTGAGATAAGGAAAATCACTAGGATCTGGGGCTCTCTGATAGACTGGCTGACTGGCTGGAGCGTGCAGGGTCTTTTTTGTCTCCATCTTCTCATTCCTGGGACTACAAGAGCTTACCACCTTGTCCAGCTTTTTAATTAGGTCTGGGGATCAAACTCAAGTCCTCATTTTTGCATAACAATCACTTTTAACTGACTATCTCCCCAACTCCTAAAGTTATATTGTTTGCATGTGTGTTTCTGTAGTGTGTGGATATGTGTATACACACTTGCACATGTGAGGATGTGCACAAGGTGAGTTGTGTTTCCCCTGTGTGCATGTGCTTGTAGAAGCAAGAGACTGATGTCAGGTGTCTTCCTTGATTGCTCTCCACTTTGATTCACTGAGTCAGGATCTGTTGCTGAACCCAGAGATCAGCTAATATGTCACCCAAATGGCTTCAGAGAGTTCTGCCTCCTGAGCACTACGAAGCAGGCTGCCTTACCTGGCTTTTGTTTGAGAGTTGGGGATCTGAACTCTGGTCCTCATGCTTATATGACAAGTGTTTATTGATTGAGCCATGTATGTCACTAGCCCCAATAGCCACATTTTAAAAGTTGAAAACATTAATTCAAATGTATATTTTACCAAAGAGACAGACATCAATTGTTATCGCTTTATCATGTAATATACTGAAATACTAAATTATTTTAAATTTTTGTACTGTTTTCAAAGTTCTGTACTTACAGTATATCTCAAATTAAGACTAGCCACATCCCAAGTACCCCAACCTGTGTTTAGTAGCTTCTGTAATGAGCAGAGCATACCTAAAGTAAAGGGTCTGCATTGTTCCTGGGGAGGTGGCTAGAGATGAAAAGGGAAGTGTATGAAAATCTGTAAAGGGTACTGAATGTTACGACACAAAACTTTTAAATGTAAGGCTATAAAACAATGCATTCAAGTGGGAGAAAATGTGTTGTAGCTGGATCTTGGGATGGGTTCATGGAAAAAGAATAGAAGCCAGCAATAAGGGGAAGGGCCAAGTAAGGAGCACTACCCTCTGCTCTAGAGCACAATCCTACTGTTGTTGCCTAGGTCTCCACACCTTATTTAGATGCATGGCCTTTATGTAAGTAGCTTGCCTGAGAGATGGACGCCTTCCTTCACTCCTGTCCATTCACAGCTAGTTCCCAAAAAATTCTTGTGTTGATCAAGCACCATTTCCACTGCAAATTTAATTAAAAGTCCATAGCTTATGCACTTATTATTATCCTATGTCTTTTCCTTTTATATAATTTTAATTTTTAATTTCTATGTCCTTAGTTAGGCTATAAACTAGTTTATATTTCATGTTATGATAGATAAAAAGTCATTTTATTTACATATTATATATATTATATATATATGAGTGCTCTATTTGCATGTGTGCCTGAATGACAGAAGAGGACATCACACAGAAGAGGACAACAGATCCCACCACAGGTTGTGAACCACCTGTGGTTGCTGGGAATTAAACTTAGAACCTCTGAGACAGTATCCAGTGCTCTTAATCACTGAGCCATCCAAACAAAATCTTTTTATTTCACAACAAAAACCAACTTTGTTACAAAAATCAGTACCTTCCTCTGACATCTCTCCAGGTTTTATAGTTACATGTGGCATTGGCAGAATGTCCTTGTATATAGATGCTTCATAAAGACTACCTACATTGTTAACATAAGTTTGATATTTATGCAAAGTGGCAATGAGA